ACTCCTATTTTAAATCTGACAGCTCGAAAAGGAACCGCGCACTGCGCTTCCGCCAAGTGTTGTGTTATTTACCTCAATTTACGGTCAATTTAAATTATACAACAAAGAAAATTACTGAAGCTAAAATTGTGAGATAGAGACAAACAAAATTGTAAGAGGTGAAAAGTTGCAAAGCTAACAAAGTTACAAAGAGTTTAATATTTTATGTCCATTCGAGTTATTGGTTAATTTTCAGTAGTGAAGTTATTGAGCTGCATTGTGGGCCATTGTTTTACATTTCCCCCAACAAACACAAAAAAAAACATAACAGGCAATCTGGAGGTTCAAAATGGCGTCGGACGAATGCATCGTTCAAAAAAAAAAAATATGCGTCAAAAATATGTTTCCCCGAAATGTGACCAATCCTGTGTCGTTATGCAAATAGTGGTCTAACTCAAAGAAATAAAATGCACGTCCCACAATGTTGTTAATATATTCAACGAGATTTTACAGTTCAAACATGTGCTCGGTGTGAAAATACTCTTTCAACATGGCCGTCGCCCGAACGGAGAATTTACCTGATGTTAAATTATGCCACACTTTATTAACGATTCAAACAAAGAGTTTACATTACGTTAAATGCTGCCTCGATCCACGTGACTGGCTACTTAAAACCATTAGCGTTGAGAGTTTATATCGTGAATTGTTGTATGCGTTCTGCGTTGCGAGGAAATATGCGCCTCGGTGATGTAATTTTTAGTGTTACGTGATACTATGTATCGGTGATGTGATGATGATGCGATGATAATAATGATGATGTAGTTTTGGAAATTTCATTCTACCCTACAAAATTTGATTGGCAACGCACAGTAGTACAATACCAAGAGATATTTACAACTTAAAGTTGTCGCGTGCCAATAATCCCCAGATGTGAGAAAGAAGAATAATCCAGGTCTGCACAGGAACCATCGTTCCTCACGACATTATATTATGAATTCTGCTGCACTTTTCTACGGCATTTTTCCACAGTGGGGCAACGTTAGGTTAATTTAACTGCCGTAAATGAACTATTAGCAATCTTGTGTGAAGAATTAAGAAGTGTTATAATGTAACACTTAAGTACCTGCTAAGATAGGACTGATTTTAGCAAATGACATATTCTCTAAGAAATCTAATTAAATTATTATAGGAAAAGACACCAGGACCCGGTAAATAGAAAACGAATTAAAGTTAATTCGCGATTAACTTTTAATTGAGGTCCGTTGCAAGGTAACTTGCATGTTTTAACCAATCACGGACTCGTATTCTACATTTTAATTCTCTGTTAAATTAATCGAGGAATAAATATTTAATTCGCTATTATCTTGTGTCTTTTCTTATAATAATTTAATTAAATTTCTTAGAGGATACGTCATTTGCTAAAATCAGTCTTATCTGGGCCGGTATTAGCTCCAGCCGCCCGCACTTCTATTTTCCTAGGGAATATGTCATATACCAAAATCAGTCTTAATAGGTACTAGCCCCACCCATCCGCCCTCTCTTTTCTTAGATGGTATCTCATTTGCCAAAGTCAGTTTTATCTTAGCAGGTAGTAGGTCCGCCCGCCCACCCTCTCTTAGAGCTTACCTATATCATTTGCTAAAATCACTCTTATCTTGGCAGGAACTAGCCCCGCCCATCTACCCTCTCCTTAGAAGGTACTTCATTTGCCAAAATCACTCTTATCTTAGCAGTTACTAGCCCCCCCATCCAACCTCTCTTTTCTTAGAGGGTGTGCCATTTGCCAAAATCCATCTTATTTTAGCAGGTGCTAACCCCACCCACCCGCCCTCTATTTTCTTAGAAGGATCTCATTTGCCAAAATCAGTTTTATCTTAGCAGTTACTAGCTCCGCCTACCCACCCTCTCTCTTTGTTTAGAGGTTATTTCATTTGCCATTATCAGTTTTATCCTAGCAGATACTAGCCCCGCCCACTCACCCTCTCTTTTCTTATAGGGCATGTCATTTGCTAAAATCGATCTTATCTTAGCACTTACTAGCCCCACCCACCCACCCTCTTTTTTTTTAGAGGGTATACCATTTGCCAAAATCCATCTTATTTTAGCAGGCACTAACAACACCCACCCGTCCTCTATTTCTTAGAGGGATCTCATTTGCCAAAATCCATCTTATTTTAGCAGGTACTAACCGGCGCCCACCATTCTCTCTTTTCTTAGAAGGTATCTCATTAGTCAAAATCAGTTTTATCTTAGCATTTGCTAGCTAGCAGTAGCAAATGAGATCCCTCTAAGAAAAGAGCGGGAGGGGGGGGGGTAGTATCTTGTAATAAACTAAAAAATTAAAATGTGAGGTGAAACGTACCATCTTACTTTTTGCTAATTTGCCTCTTTTTTGGTATTATACATATTTAATTTTATACGATTGTATACTCCTACATGTATTAGCATCCAGAAACGTTATTCGTAACTTTGTAAACAAGGGGTTTATCCTGACAAAGTGAATTTCATGAAATCTCCTAGTAAGTGTTTATCTAAACAAATTCCTGATTGTTAAATTGTGTGACGACTAGTGAACGATTAAACTCCAAACCTGAACTGTAAATTTACAAAGAATGAATCAAATTGACATGTGTTAGCGTCGGTCAAAAATTCACATTTTTCTGCTTCGAAAGTCGCAAGAATTAGCTGCGCGTGTTGGGTCGTCATCGTTACGATTAATTGTCATAAAAGGCTTCCTCCCTTTTATTGCCTACCAAACCAACTAAACTTAACCTAACTCACCGCGTTTTTTTCCCATGGTTTCATTCACAAAACCAAAATAACAGTGACGCTTTCACCTCTCTACCAAGCGGCCCTCTTTTAACAACCCTCTAACTAGCTTTCAAGCAGAACTACACACTACCCAAAAGCGCTAACGTGCACATGGTTGCCTATGTTTAACGACTTTTTTGATTGCATTTTTTTTTTCAAATTCAAATTATTCAAAAGCGATTTCGCGCCGCTGTTAATTTTGTTCAGCGCAAAATTTTAATTCAAATTCGGTCACCACAACGTCATTTACTAAAATCATTCTTATCTTAGCAGGTATTTGACTAAGCCACCCGCCCGCCCTCTATTTTCTTAGAGAATATGTTATTTGCTAAAATTAGTCTTTACAGGTACTAGCCTCAGTTCCCCGCCCGCTCTTTTCTTAGAGGATATGTCATTTGCCAAAATCGGTCTTATTTTAGCAGGTACTAGCCCCACCCACCCGCCCTCTCTTTTCTTAGGGGGTAATTCATTTGCCAAAATCACTCTTATCTTACCAGGTACTAGCCCCGCCCACCCACCCTCTATTTTCTTAGCGAGTATGTCATTTGCCAAAATCGATCTTATTTTAGCAGATACTAAGCCCGCCCACCCGCCCTCTATTTTCTTAGAGAGATCTCATTTGTCAAAATCAGTTTTATCATAGCAGGTACTGATGACTACGGTTATTGTCCTAAAAAAGTAAAAGGTGGATTTCAGTCACCATAGTTACTAAGAAATCAAAAAGTAAGGTATTCACGCATTAGGTAAGTGCAGTGTTGCCAATTTGTATTTTTTAAATTGCACTGTATGTTTTGTTTATTGTTGTAGAGAGTTGATTTCAAAATAGGAATGCGTCAGAAACAACGTATTTTTTTTCATTTTAGTAAGGAGAAACACACTTAATCATCATTATATGGTTAATTTTCGGTAACTAGATTAATTTAATTATTTAAATCTCGAATTCTTTATAAGATCCAATAAAAAATATACTATATATATATATATAATAAACTTGACTGTCATCTGTCAAAATATCAAATGGATTTATATTACAGTGTTTTCACAATGTTTTTATATGGTGTATCAATTATTCAAATCAGGTAAAAATAAGCAAGATAAAATCAAAGGTTTTTTTTCAATCACCCGGTATATGATTGTTGTAAAATTGTATTAAGACAGTTAAAATTTAACATGAATTGACAGTATCAGCAAATAGGAACAAACAATAAAACCAAATTACACGTGTTGATGGAATAGTTTTGGGAATCATTTTACCCGTTGAGGACTGTGATGTAGGATGCGATTAATTTTTGTTCATGCAAATGCCCTTTCATGAAACCACACAGTATTCTACATACCAAAATTTAACACGTGCTTCAACTGGTGTTGCTACATAAGAAATGGGCCTAAATTGCAACCCAATTAAATATTTGCCAACGACTTGAATTTGAACATTTATTCTCAAATAATAATTTTGATGAAACAAAGCCCATATTTAGTGTATGCTTTGTTTTACTGGTAAAGACCATCATGTAATCTTGACGAACTCATTTTGATTTTATCATCAGAAAGTTAAGTTGCAATAATGTAATTAAATGTCACCATGGCAGTTTTGGCAGTTCTGCCAATTTCAAGAAAAATTTGTTGATACTGAAACGGGAATTGTTGGTCACACTGTGCTTAATACACAAGTTTGAATACCAATCCCCGCAATAAATCAAGTAGACGTACGTCAAATTTTTCCAACCAATATTTGTCAAGTTGACACGCGTAAGAGAAGTTTACCAATTCTTCCTTGAAAGTCCATACAATGGGGGGTGATCATGCCTACTTTGGCGCTTTTTACAAACTCCACGGAATAATAACGTATCGCTTGTCTCCATACGAATTACGACCCTTGTATGGTTGCTTTCCTCACAACATCGGAAAGTGGATAAGACGCATCAAGGAAGAATTTTTATACGTAGTTCCTCCATTTTTCGTGTCGTATGTAGCTTACGATCAGTTAGAAAAAAGACATGCGCAATTGCGACGTAAAAATCCTGCTGATTACGAGAACGAAGATGAGGAAAACCAGGAGAAGACTGAGGAAAAACAGGAGCAAACCGAGGAACAAAAATAACGTTTTGTCTAATTTTGTTGTTTAATTTAAGAGTTGTGTAATGCGTTAGTTTAAATAAATAAGTGTATTCTGATGACATGTTGTTGCATTGTTTATTCTTGTTTTGCAGATAGGCGATAAAATTGTGGTGCTCAATCGAATTCGGGAAGACCAAACTTGCCCGATAGTTTATTATCCTAAAAATTCCTGGGTTAATCGAAGAAACCCACAAGAAGATAGTAAATTAGCTAGAATAGATTTAGCAAGTCGGGAGCCGGATAGAGATGAGAACGTGAATGGAAGACGAGGGGTGTTGAGGAATCATAAGAGGGAAGCCGAGGACGACGACATGTATCAACCGGGTAGTTCAAATCACCAGCGTGGAGACATTTTGGTGAGTTGTGTGTTATTTGTTTATCTCTCTTAGTGTGTGTGAATTTTAGATTCGCCACTGTTCCGCTCCAGTAAACAGTTTAGCAGCATTTAGCGTTTCAAATAACAAAACATCAAAATCGGATAGGATACGAGAACAACGTTTAGCGCGACTGGCAGAAATCAAAGAAAACATGAAGAAGCACAAGAAGGAAGAAAAAAATAGGAACCACTATCTAGGAATTTATGTTTTAGATTTATCGAAAGCTTTAAGTACAAAGCCATATCTGACGTGGTTGCCTCCAAAGAATTTAGGGAACGGCCCAGAAGAAACGATTTTGTACACTTTGTTGGCGGGGAAGTCCGAGTTAGTGATGTTTGGAGGAATTAGGAAAGATCCGACGTCTTTAGGATTTGCGGTTAACATCAATAGTCAAATTTCAAATAGTTTACATTTTATTACGGCTCCTAACTATGTTATTTAAATTAAACCTGATATTTTTGATTTTTGCTGTTCTAGCATAATTAAAGGACAATATGCTAGTCATGATTGTAAATTGGATGCTTTTTTGATTTTCTAAAAAATACACTATCTGGTTTATATGTGGCAGTACATGTTTTTTGATTACCAAAAATAAATCGGTAAGTATTGAAAAAGTTAATAAACTCTATACCCGACAAATCTTACGCTTACGTATTTCGTCTACTGTGCTTCGACAAGCCCGGTTTGCATGTTGACATGCGCACACAAGTTGCAAAACCCGCGAAAAGTTAAAAATTGTCCGTGAGCTGTGATCGTGTTTAACAAAATGGAGGATGTACGTTGTGTTTTCCAATGGTGGACTGTGTTCAAATCTCATCCCAACCACAACCGTGAAAAAGTAACCCTGAATTAAAGTGCAAAAATGTTTTATTTTATAAATTTTATTAAAAACCGGTAGAAAAATGGTTTCTCCCTGGAGAGGCGAAAAACTATGAAAGAAGTCTCAGGGAACCATTTTCTCGGCTGCAAAACCCCGTATTTTCAAAAACAAGGGTACAAATTCTTACTAAAATGACTGGATGGTACAGTGCGAGCTTTACTGACGTTGTGACTGACCTCTCTGTGTCAAAAGTTAAAATGACAAGCCGACAAGAATAACCAAGTAAGGTTATGTTGTACCTGAGGAGTGTTTCACAAATTACGTCAGCAATTGCCGTAATTTGTGAAACACTCACATTTAACTAAATGACATGAGTGTAAAAATTTGCTTCAATGCTTAACAATCACCCGGTATTTATACCACCATTTTTGGTTTTACTTAAAATATAGGGCTTTGATTTTAATAATTTGGAAATAAACGTCAATTTTTAGATTAAAAGAAAAAATAAATTAAAAAAAACGCTCTGACAAACTAATTTATAGGCAAATCAGTGCAATTAAAATTAAAATCTCTAGCCACAATAATTGAGTATCTCTCTTTCCCCACGTTACGTCACACATTCCACATCTCTACGAGCGAGCCTTGCCGCATACTTATCGCAATATCCACATCCTGTCAGACGGAATCTAGAAAATAAAATCCATGACAAATTTCAGCGTTAACAACTTGACAAAGTCAATTTCTGCACCAACAGTCTTATCAGTTACCGATAAATTTTCAAAATAATAATTGTTAAAAAATTCCAACATTCTGTTGTGGTGTTTTTTTTTATCAATCAGACTTAGTGAGAAATCGAATATACCTACTGACGAATGTTGACAATTCAAAAATAAAACAAGACGAAACCTCAGAATGAAATATATAAAAATCATCTTCTATCTATTTCAGTTTTGGAACTGAATATATATTTCGACTTTTAAATTTTTGTGATTTTTCGACTTTTCGCAGTTTTAATACTCAATTTTAATTCGATATTTCAAAATATTGCGACTGTCTAAATCTTACATTTTTCGATTTTAGCGTTTTGATTGTTCGATTTGTTGATGTTTTGACTGCTCGATTTTTTAAATTTTAAGTTTTCGAGTTTTTAAATTTTAGATTTTTCACTTTTTTGTTGTTTCGATTTTTCAACCTTTTGATATTTTTTTGCTTTCTCGTTTTTCGAATTTTCAATTTTTCAGAATTAATTTTTAAGTTTTTGCATATTTCGATTTTTCAATGTTTGATTTAACGGATTTCTTTCGATTTTCCGCCTTCTCGTTTTTAGATTATCCGGTTTTTCAATTTGTCGGAATTATTTTTTCACTTACCCGATGTTTCCATCTTTTACTTTTTCGGTTTATCGGTTTTTTTAAGTTAAAATTTTTCACTTTTGAATTTTCTCATTTTTTTATTTTTAGCCACTTCCATTTCTCAGTTTTTCGATTTTTCGACTTCTCGATCTTTTAATGTTTCGATATCGCGGTTTTTCAATTTTTCGATTTCGATTTCCCGATTTCTCAGCTTTTCGATAATTCATCTTTTCGATTTTTCAATTCTGGAATTTTTCAACGTTTCAGTTTTGGAATTTATGTATTTAAATTTTTCGATATTTCAATTATTCAATTTTTGGCCTTTCTAAATTTTTCGATTTCTCAATTTTTCTATCTCTCAAATTTTCACTGTTTAAGTTTTGGGATTTGCAATGTTGGGATTTTTCAATATGTATTTCGATTTTTAAATTTTTACAATTTTCCACTTCTGTTTTTTGGATTTTTATACATATATTCGATTTTTCAAAATTTTGCGACTTTTTAATGCATACATTTTTCAATTTTTTGATTTTTCGATTTTATAATTTTTCGATTTTTTGTCTTCTCAGTTTTAGGTTGTTCTATTTTTCATTTTCGGAATTAATCGTTCAGTTTTTCGAAATGTCGATTTTTCGATTTATCGGATGTTTTAAGTTTAAATTTTTCTATTTAGAATTTTCCCATTTTTCGATGTTTAGCTCTTTCGATATCTCAATGTTTCGATTTTTCGACTTCTCGACTTCTCGATATTTTGATGTTTCGATTTCGCACTTTTTCAGTTTTTGGATTTCGATTTCTCGATTTGTCAGTTTTTCGATATTAGAGTTTCCAATTTTTCAACGTTTCAGTTTTGGGATTCATGTATTTAGATTTTTCAATTTTTCAATTTTCGGCGTTTCTAAATTTTTGGATTTTTAGATTTTTCAATTTCTTGATTAATGGATTTTTTAATTTTTCATCTTTTCGATTTTTTGTCTTTCCGATTTCTCAATTTTTCAATTTCTTAAATTTTCAATGTTTTAAGTTATGGGATTTTTCAATATGTATTTAGATTTTTAAATTTTTAGAATTTTCGACTTTTTATGATTTTATACTTATTCAATTTTCCAAAATTTTGCTGGTTTTTAAATGTTATATTTTTCCATTTTTCGATTTTTTGATTTTAAGATTCATTGATGTTTTGGTTTCTGGATTTTGTAAATTTTCAATTTTTCGAACTATTAAATTTTAGATTTTTCTCTTATTTGTTGTTTCGATTTCTCAGTTTTTGGATTTTTTGTCCTCTCATTTTTAGATTTTTGAATTTTTTAATTTTTCAGTTTTTCGATATTTCGATTTTTCAATTTTTCGATTTATCAGGTTTTTTAAGTTTAAATTTTTCAGTTTTGAATTTTCGATTGCGATGTCTCGATTTCTCAGTTTTTCGATAATTCATATTTTCGATTTTTCAATTTTCGAATTTTTCAACGTTTCAGTTTTGGAATTAATGTATTTAAATTTTTCGATATTTCAATTAATCAATTTTTGGCGCTAAATTTTTCAATTACTCAATTTGTCGTTTCATTTTTGATCTTTAGCTATATGGATATCTCAATTTTTCGAATTTACAGTTTTTCGATTATTCGACTTTTCAATTTTTCAACGTTTCTGTTTTGAGATTTGTGTATTTAAATTTTTCGATTTTTCAATTTTTGGCGTTTCTAAATTTTTGGATTTTTGGATTTTTCAATTTCTTGATTAATGGATTTTTTAATTTTTCATCTTTTCGATTTTTTGTCTTTCCGATTTCTCAATTTTTCGATTTCTTAAATTTTCAATGTTTTAAGTTATGGGATTTTTCAATATGTATTTAGATTTTTAAATTTTTAGAATTTTCGACTTTTTTTTTGATTTTTTACTTATTCAATTTTCCAAAATTTTGCTGGTTTTTAAATGTTACATTTTTCCATTTTTCAATTTTTTGATTTTAAGATTCATTGATGTTTTGGTTTCTGGATTTTGTAAATTTTCAATTTTTCGAACTATTAAATTTTAGATTTTTCTCTTATTTGTTGTTTCGATTTCTCAGTTTTTGGATTTTTTGTCCTCTCATTTTTCGATTTTTGAATTTTTTAATTTTTCAGTTTTTCGATATTTCGGTTTTTCAATTTTTCGATTTATCAGGTTTTTTAAGTTTAAATTTTTCAGTTTTGAATTTTCGATTGCGATGTCTCGATTTCTTCTAAGTTCTGGGATTTTTCAAGTTTTCGATTTTTGAATTTTTAGATTTTTCACTTTTTTGTTGTTTCGATTTCTCAATCTTTCGATTTTTTGCCCTCACATTTTTAGATTTTTCAATTTTTTAATTTTTCAGTTTTTCGATATTTCGGTTTTTCAATTTTTCGATTTATCGGGTTTTTTAAGTTTAAAGTTTTCAATTTTGAATATTCACATTTTTCGATCTGTAGCCATTTCGATATCTCAGTTTTTCGATTTTTCGACTTCTCGATTTTTTCGTTTTCTCGATTTTTCAAGTTTTCAATTTTTGGCGTTTCTAAATTTTTGGATTTTTCGATTTCTCAATTTCTCCATTGATCGATTTTTTAATTTTCCGATTTTTTGATTTCTCTGTTTAAGTTTTGGGATTTTTCAAGATTTCGATTTGTAAATTTTTAGATTTTTCACTTTTTGTTGTTTCGATTCCTCAATCTTTCGATTTTTTGTCCTCTCGTTTTTAGATTTTTCGATTTTTGAATTTTTCGGAATGAATGTTTCAGTTTTTCAATTCTATTTTTCAATTTTTCGATTTATTGAGTTTTTTAAGTTAAAATTTTTCAAATTTGAATTTTCCCATTTTTCAATCTTTGACTATTTCGATATCTCAATTTTTCGATTTTTCGACTTCTCGACTTGTCGATTTCGCGATTTTTCAATTTTTCGATTTGATTTCTCGATTTTTCAGTTTTTCGATTATTCGACTTTCCAATTTTTCAACGTTTCAGTTTTGAGATTTATGTATATAAATTTTTCGATTTTTCAATTTTTTGATTTTTGGCGTTTCCAGATTTTTGGATTTTTCAATTTCTCAATTTCTTGATTAATCGATTTTTTAATTTTCCTATTTTTCGATTTCTCTGTTTAAGTTTTGGGATTTTTCAAGGTTTCGATTTTTTGTTCACTTATTTTTAGATTTTTCGATTTTTGAATTTTTCGAAATGAATTTTTCAGTTTTTCGATTTTATTTGCCAATTTTTCGATATATCGGGATTTTTAAGTTTAAATTTTTCAATTTTGAATTTTCCCATTTTTCAATTTTTAGCTGTTATTTCGATAACTCAGTTTTTCGATTTTTCGACTTCTCGATTTGTTCGATTTCGCGATTTTTCAATTTTTCGATTTGATTTCTCGATTTTTCAGTTTTGAGATTTATGTATTTAAATTTTTCCATTAATCGTTCTTTTAATTTTCCGATTTTTCGATTTCTTTGTTTAAGTTTTGGGATTGTTCAAGATTTCGGTTTTTGAATTTTTAGATTTTTCACTTTTTGCTGTTTCGATTTCTCAGTCTTTTGATTTTTTGTCTTCTCATTTTTAGATTTTTCGATTTTTGAATTTTTCGGAATGAATTTTTCAGTTTTGCGATTTTGTTTTCCAATTTTTCGATTTATCGGGTTTTTTAAGTTTAAATGTTTTAATTTTGAATTTCGATCTTCAGCTAGGTATTTCGATATCTCAATGTTTCGATTTTTCCATTTCTCGACTTCTCGATTTTTTGATGTGTCGATTCCGCGATTTCTCAGTTTTTCGATTATTCGAGTTTTCAATTTTTCGACGTTTCAGTTTTAGGATTTATGTATTTAAATTTTTCGATTTTTCAATTTTTCAATTTTTGGTGTTTCTAAATATTTGGATTTTTCGATTTCTCAATTTTTCGATTAATCCATTTTTTAATTTTCCGATTTTTCCATTTCTCAATTTTTAGATTTCTCTGTTCAAGTTTTGGGATTTTCCAAGATTACGATTTTTAAATTTTGAGATTTTTCGACTGTTTTTTTGATTTTTTACTTACTCAATTTTTCAAAATTTTGCGAGTTAAAAAATCTTACATTTTTCAACATTTTCGTGTATTCGATATTGTAATTTTTGGATTTTTGGATTGTTTAGATTTTTAAAATTCATGATTTTTCAATTTTTCGGTTTTGACAATATTTTGATTTCTTCTTCAAAAACCGGAACATCTGAAATTAAAAAAAAGACGCCAGGACCCCTAAGATTCTGTAAACCATCAACACTTCGCATTGAACGTGTTGTTTAAGAATAGATGTTCAAAATTATAGAACAGTCGTCGCACGTAAATCATAAAATAAAATAAGCTTTGAGTTCAGGATGATATTGATGTAGCGTTAATGACGAATTTGACCTGTCCCGATAGGCACCCCAGAATAGCATAATTCCAAGTTTGCATTCTTATGTCACTCTCAGTTTTGAGCAATTGAAAATTATCTGCAAAAATGCCAAGATATTCGTTTACCAACACCGAGAAGACGGACATGATTTTAATTTTTGGAGTGAATAGACGCAGAAGTGTTTTAACCACTACACATTTGGACGAGATCCGAGTTTTGGAGACTGTTTTAGAAAATTCTCACATATTAGGCCGTTGCCCAATTGCGAGAGAAATTGGCATAAGTCAACTGAATGTCAAAGCCTAACAAGTTGCACCTGTATCATATGCAGTTAGTTGCTACTGATGTAGTATTTCAAAATCTGAAGTGAGAAAGTACGAAATGCAAATAATAACTTAGGAAAAACCATTCAGAATTTTAGATATATCGTTGCTCAAATAAGTTAAATCTGAATAAGTGAATGTTTGCTACGTATTTTACGTTAACAGTTAGATATATCATTTCAGAAGATCAGAAAATAGTTAATAAACTGATTTTACACTAATTACACGATTTTGTTAAAAGAACTGTCTTTTGTAAAACTTATGAGAAAAAAAATTAACACACCGTTTCAACATTCTAACGAAGCCAACCGCGCTCCGCAAACTTTATTTAGTTTTGATGAAGAACAGTGTGAAGAAGTGCTACAGACCTCTTACGACTTTTTTACCTGTGTAGAAAAAATCCACCTTTCAACGCACTGTACTCGTAGCATCCCAAGTTCAGCGTCATCGCCTCCCCAGGAGCCGAAGCAGCACCGTCTAGCCAGCATCGCCACCAGAGAGGCTACAGGACGACCTTGAGAGGGCTTAGTTTCTACCTTTTATCAGCCGAAAATTCTGTTTAATTAGTTAGTTTTGTGGCTGATGGCTAGGCATTAAAGACCGAAGAATTTTAATGTTCATCAGAGTATTATTTTTATTTTGCACCGAAACAGCCCTACCTTGCCCCAAATTCTTCGAACTGCCGTCGATGTGGCTAAAGGTGATGTTCGTTGTTGTTAATAGAGTACAGAAATAAACAACAAGTAGATGTTAAATATACTTTATTGAGATCGACTTTTTTTGTTTTTTCAGTAAAACGAATAAGAACAATAATAATATAACGTGATACGATATTTAGCTAAAATACTCGTTCTTCTTTTTGTTATGCTACTAGACCGGTGACACTTCTAATCCAGTCTACGTATGGATACGTTCTAGTAAATCCTGATGGTAAAGTACTTTCACACCCTTGGGAACTAACAAAAACAGCGACACCAACATGAACAGCTGCTCGTTCAGTACGGTATTCTATTAATGGACCACCACTGTCACCCTTGCAAAAAAACATACACCTTGGCGGTACCATTTTATAATATTTTTGGTGTGCTTACGGTACAAATTCCTTCGTTCAATTGTCCAACAACGCAAACCATGTCATCTGCAACTTGATCACCATAGTACAGTTTGCATTCTGTATTGGATATGGTAGCCAATTGTACGTAGTGTAAATTATCCAGTAGACCTGGGTTTTCTTAAATAGATCCAGGAAATATAAAGGAATTAGAAACTTTTTGCAAAGACTTACGATCGCTTTCTTGCCCCCAACCAATCGTTGTGACTGTTGCGGAGTCTGTGACACTTCTTTCTGGCAAACTTATGGAAGTCATGTATTCTGGAAAAAGGTCGTGTTAGTGACAAGATACTGTTGACAGACTATGTTTGCACTACCATTGAAATCTACAGGCAGTCGAAGGCGCAGTAACCCAATATCGTGTTCCAGTGTGTCTGGATCAAATTCTGGATGGACTATGTATGTGGAAGTTGCTACTGTAACACGATTTGGGTCCGCATTGTTCAAACTGTTTGAGCCGAGATGGATGGTGAACTGTGTAGCACTGGAAGAAAGAATAATGGACAATGCAGTTACAAGATATAGGGTAGTACATACCCATTGATACATTGTGCCGCTGTCAGAATCCATAGGTTTCCAATTATAGCTCCCCCACAGAAAAAAGAACCTGTTTCATAAGTGGCATATATAGCTGCAGCAAATGGAAATTGACTGGCTCTGGCAATTTCACCACCAATTATACGCCCTCCTGTAGGAAGAATGGGTTAAAATATTATAAACTAAAATTTTCTTTGTTTACCGAAATTGGTTCGTACTGTAGAATTTTTTGTCTAAAATTAAAAGATTATTAGTGAGGAAAAAATTATAATATTACCCACCTCAGGTACGATATAACCATACACTAAAGGTATGCACAATAGAAGCAGGAATTTCATGTTTTATTCTAATCTGGGCGTTCTTCTTTTACTGTTTTTATTGTTTCACCTTCTTAATGCTACCTTTAACTCTTATCTTATCAATTATCATAAATTGAACGTATGTACACATTTTTAGCATTTTTTGCAAAGTTATTTTACTAATCCTTTGTTTTGAAGTGTTCCGATAACGGTATTCTATTGTCTTGTTAAAAAAATGGTGGTACAGTAAGAAATCTGCGACTACAATACGTTATTTCAACTCGTTTTTTCATCAAAAATCTTTATTAAATAAGGGTTATATTTTTTATCCAATTAAGGTACGGATATGTTCTTGTATAACCCGAAGGGTCAGTACTTTGGCAACCATTTCCGCTTATAAAACTTGAGACCCCAGTGTGTACCATTTGGCCTCTGCTGACAACATGTACCAGTGGTCCACCGCTATCTCCCTGCAATTTTTGAGTGTTATAAATGGTACTAAATATAAGAAGTTATGTTCTAACAATGCAAGTTCCTTCATTGTAATTTCCGCTTACGCAAACCATATTGTCGGTAATTTGGCTCCCGTAGGACTGCTTGCATTCGTTGTTGGATAATGAAGTCACTTGAACCCAGTTGAGATGGTTGGCTAGCTCAGGATCATCTAGAATTATACACTAGTATTTATATCGATGTGTCAATGGTTTTAAGAAATCCCTCTACCATCACTAATTTGTCCCCATCCTAGTGACAAAAGGCTTGTCGCAACTTGTACTGGAACCGTAGGCAAATAATCTATGGTATCAACGTAATCTACAAAAAAAAGGTTGTTAATTACTGGAAAAACTAAAATTAACAACGTGTACCAGTAAGTTCCACTGGAATTCTGAGTTTGATAAGCCCTATATCGTTCTCCAGTGTTGCTGGGTTAAAATCTGGGTGCAAAGAGTATTCTGATGTGGCGACAGTCACCCGATTTGAGTCATCACCATTGAGTGTGTTCGATCCTAACTGGATTGTGAATAGAGTAGCTCTAAAAATTAGCACATTGAGTTTACTGTGGAACTTAAAAATCTGTAGTACCCATTAACGCATTGACCACCTGTTAAAATCCATTGGTTAGTGATAAGAGCTCCCGAGCAAAAGAATCTGCTGGTTTCTGTATGAACTGTTATAGCAGCGGCAAATTTAAACTGGCCTGCGTAAGCATTTGTACCACCGATTATCCTAGAACCTGAATTGATTTTTAATTTGATTTTTTTAAGAAAGGTTGTAGATTCGCACTTACTAATTCTTTTGTTTGTGGGAGTTGCTTCCTGAAAGTTAGAATTATCAATATTTTGCAAGGTTATTTATATTTCTGTTGTATTTACCGCATTGTGGATTTCTGTCAAAGACAATACTAATACAAGAATTAACACAGGTCTTAGATGCATTTTAAACAGTCAGTATTTTTGTACTACCACAGAAAACGTGCATAGAAACTTCACTACATAAATTTATCTTATCAATATTTTATTGTAGAAATGTGTATTTTATTTCCTTTTTTTGGAATTATACCATAAAAAAATAAATAATATTGCAGCAGCTATAGTTAAATTTCTTTTCAAGTGCTCGCAGTCTCAAAATGTGATTACTTATAGTATAGATACCTACTTAGTATACGATGATGGAAAATTCCATTTATTTTTACTTAGTATATTGTTTTTTTTTCCATAAAACAATGAGATCTCTTGTAGAACTATAGTTATAAATTAGATAATTCCGAGAAGAAAGGAATCAATAAAATTGAAAAAGTATACCAACGTTCTTAATGTAAATTACTGTCGATGCTGTCGAATATTGGCCACACCGAGTTCCGACAAATGTCAAGTGATAATTTATGTCAAGTTTGACATTAAATTAAAAAGCTCAAACATTTGTGTTCCACTTATTTTTTCCGCTTGGTTGTGGACATTTGAACAGTTGAGCAGATTTTACTATTAAACCAGATTTACGTTATGGATTTTTTTTTCATTATAGACTGGATGCAAAATGTGCGCAAAAATAACATGAAAATCCTTCCGTCGTGACAAATGTCAATTATCTGTCAAATTTGATTTATGTCACATTATGAAGTCAGGAATACCAACCCATAAAACAATGCTTTAATGTGATTTTTGAAACAGCCAATTCGAAAAAAAAAAACGAATGAGACTGTAATAATTACTCGATTTTATTGTTAGATTAGAGCATTTTATATGAATGGTGTACTTAGTAACTTTGGTAGCTGTTTAAACATATAGTATTGGTTATTTCCGTATTGTAAAATAATAAAGTTTTATGACGTTAAAAATGAAAAAATTTGTAATGCTCCTTGATAATAAATCTAAGCCAGGTCTACAGCGAGTAGAATTTTTCACTGTATCTAGGTATATATATCTTAATTTGTGTGTAATGTATTAGTAATCCTCTCACCTGGTGCCATAAAAATGTCATAAAACACTATCAGACAGTTAACGTATTAGGTATTTTATGAGATAACATCAGAACTACGGATTTTATAATAGTTGATAAAAAAAATACGAGCATATAATATCCGAAACTACTCGACCGATTGTTTTCAAATTTTGTATGTATATACAATAAGAATATCATGGAGATGGCAAAACGCTAACCAAAATTTAGTTAACCATCCCCACCAACAATTTGATGATGTCGTTTCAAAGAATTGTACTTTGTGCTTTGGGTTAAGCCGCATAAGTCATAAAAGTTTTACAAGGTGTATGTTAAGTGGGTTTTGTATATTGTTTGTCTTGAAGATGATAAAACTTAACATTTAATAATATCCTTTATTATAGAAAAATTAAAAATAAAAGCAGTTAATTCTGCATCGAATACCAACAAACTCACCAGATTTTGATGGCCAACCCTACTATATAAAGATCGCGAACGGATAATATGCATTAATTCTAGTTAATATTTATCAAAATGAGTTCACAGAAATCACAACGTAGACCAAATAAATTCCCAATTCATAAACCCGTATTGAATATAATTAAAGTCAAAACAATATTTCTAAAATAAATGTTCCAATTCAAGCTGTAAGAAATAATTAACAAATAATAACTTTCAGTTCTTTCTCTCAAAATGGCCAAAATGTTTATAGACTAATTTAATGCCATTAATGAACTATTTTAAAATCTTATGTAAGAAGATATGATCTATGGAAATGTAACAATCTAAATAAAAACATCCAGAAATCTACATAAGTAGGTACACATATCGTTTTAAAAATGAGTTGAATCTGAAGGAGTGACTTTTCTTCCACGTGCTTTACGGGGACGTTTCCATTATTGACATTAAATTGTGTTGGAACCGTGAGCAGTTCATAGTATTTAACATTACTAGCATGGTGAAAGGATTTTTACTGGCGGACAGTCACCTTCTGGAGCCAGTAAAAACCCGTTACCTTGCGTGTATTGTTCAATATTTTATTTGTTTCTCACTTGTAAATAACTATTATAATTTATAGATTATTAAAAACTCTAGAAGGTCCAATATTTCAAGAAACATCGTATGAGCTTTAGACGTATTGCCTTGGAAACGCACGCCAGCATGGCACTTGTCATTGCATTTACTGTGTTGTCTAGTTCTGTCATTTAGATTTTTCGATTTATCGTTTTCGATGTATTGAAATGAGTGTGGCGCAAGCTATATTACTGAGGAAGCAGCAATTGTGAATGAAAATTTACCTGAATTAATTTTGGCTGTCATTTCAACTTATAATAGTTTAAAATGTTTAAAATACATGGCGGTATGAGCACGTGCAGGGCTGTAAATATTTTACTGGCAGCCAGTAACATTTTTTACTGGCTATAGCCAGTTAAGTGACATTTTCATGTTGAATACAGTGACTTGAAAAATTGATGTTTACAAATGAGGAACAAGTAAAAAAACGTTTCCCTTCCTGACATCTAAACAAAACATTCACACACGTTTGATATGCCGCGTAACAATGACTTTACGCACCAAATGTCAATTTACCGTTGCTTTACCGCCTTTGGGTGTCAAAGTAACTCAATATGCATTAGCCTCTAGAAGCTCTAATAAAAAAAGTTCTGTGTAAATAATAAAAGAAAACATACTAGAACACTACTTTACATAGTGTTTTGTTCAGTCAAAACTTTTGAATTAGAAAAAATTAATTATTTAAAAAAAATCACATGGCGCCATCTCATGGATGTCGGTATTATAGGTTCCTTCAGTAAACGTCAAGTCTCGAAACTGTCACTTCATTTATTTCCACTTCGAAAAATATTTTTAAAAATAAATACTTTTTAAAATAAAATCAATGTCGGCGAAAAAATTGAATACAATTTTCGTGCGTTAGGCATTTTGCAGGTTTCGGTCCCATGTTACCTACCGCACTCAAACTGTAAATAACTATTTTCTTCAACCGTCATAAAATTATGACATTGTTTTCAACCGTCTGCAAGGTTAACGTTCCCGTTACTAGGAAAAAAATTGCCTATATTTTTATCAGAAGAATAGAGAATAAGAACTGAAATTATTTATTTATATTAATATTAAATGTACAATCTGAGCAACTGTGAAAAATAAATAAGCTCCGAGAACTATAATTTGTGTCATTCTTGGAATAGTCCACGACATTTTCATTAATTATTAAATTACTGACAGAAGTATCAGAGGAATTATTTACATTTCGTAAAGAATACAAAGTTTCAGTAGCTTGTGCTGGATCTCTAACCTCCGTATCTTTTAAGACACGTCAGGGCACCCTGCATCCACAAGAATTGTGGCAGAATTTCTTCCTATTGAGTATCCTGTGTATTCTTTCCAATTTTCTAGTTTTAAGAATTTTGCGATTTCCTGAAGCACGGCACTGGTTTTGAGTATACCGACAACTACCCGATGACATTTTCCATTAATAAATTTTAAAAACAATCGTTCTTCAATATTTGGAGGCCGCAAAGCAACATAGTTTTGAAAAAACCTTAAATAATTTTCTCCCAAAACCGTAAATAAGGGGAACTTTTTGGGAGGCTGATTTTACATCCTCAGTGTCATTCATTTTTAAATTGATCAGTTCCTCACAACGACATCCGCCTGCAATTCCTAATATCAAAACAACCTGAACTGTTTTAAGTTTTATTCTTTTGGATTACATATTTTTGATATGGCTTAACTTCATCATAATCATCATCAAATATGTAATATACTATGTACGGTGAGAGATTGAGTGACAGAAAAGTCTGAAATATCTCCTAGAGCCGTTGCCAAGTTGCCGTTGATAGTAACTTTGATGGTCAACTTTTGCCGTATTTAAAGGGGTTGTAGAAAAAAAGTGGAAGATTACGTTTTTCTTGTTGTCGAAATAAGTGTACGCATATTAAGAAAAAAAAAAAGGCAAAATGTAGCCCCGCCCACCCGCCCTATCTCAATTGTATGATTTTTTTTCTATTCGTCGTGAACCAAAAGGCGGAGCTTAACTGCAAAATCCTTATGTCTCTACGAGAAATTAAAACAACATGTTTTTGAGTATCGTGTTCTTCAAAGAATATTGTGTGGACTAAGAAAAAAATAAAGCCGAAGATTATGCCCCTCCCATGCCCGCCCCGATCTCAATTCTCAGTTGTGATGAATTTTTCATTCGTTGTCAGTTCGAGGGGCGGGGCTTAACTGCAAGATCCGTACTTGTCTACAAGAATTGTACGTTTGTTGTATGCATGTTTTAAGTTTCTTGTTTTGAAAATACGACCACGTATACTAAGAAAAAGGGCAAAATATAAGCCCCACCCTCTCTCAATTGTGATGATTTTTTTTTAATCGTCGAAAGCCAAAGGCACGAATTTTAATGGCAAAATCCTTATTATCTTCTACAAGAAATTACCATGTCAATCATGTTTTTGAGTATCGTGTTATTCAATGAATACTATGTACATATATTAAGAAAAATTAAAGCCAAAGATTAAGCCACACCCATACCCGCCCTGATTTAAGTAGTAATGAAGTTTTATAATTGTAAAATCCGTAAATCAAAAAAATCATCACAATTGAGATGGGGCGGGCGGGCGGGGTTTATATTTTGCCTTTTTTTCTTAATATTGTCACGACCCAAGCTCAATTTTCCAGGAACCCCAAATAGTAAACTCCCAAATAAAATTTTAAACTAGATTTATTATCTAAGATGGTACTTATATGGTTCCGGGGTCTAGTTGTTGCGATGATGGTCACTCACAAACTCTCCGTTTCGGGTTCTCGTTGGAGCCAGGAAACCATCATCCCGCTAGAACAGCAATTTTCCCCACTTGTCTTAGTTCAATCACATTTCCGTTCTAGCAGGATAATGCTACCCCGTCTCCAAATACCACCATCACATGATTCGAGAGGAAGCGAGGCGTCATGATTTCGCAACTAAGAATTATAAAATATTTATCTTCATGACAATATACACGGCATTCTTTGAACAACACGATACTTAAAAACATGTTTTTAATTTCTTGTAAAGAAATAAGTATTTTACACTTAAGCTCCGCCCCGCCCCCTTGGTTCACGGTTAATAAAAAAAAACATCAGAATTGAGATAGGGCGGACGGGCGGGCTTACGTTTTGCCTTTTTGTTTCAATATGTGTAGACTTATTTTCACAACATGAAACTTAAAACATGTTTAAAATGGAAAATTTGTATAAGGAAATATCGATTTTGCAATTAGGCTCCGACCCATCATGTTCTAAGTTTCATGTTGTGAAAAGATGGCTACGTATATTAAAAAAAAAAGGCAAAATATAAGCCCCGCCCACCCGCCCTATCTCATTTCTGATGATTTTTTTTTATTCGTTGTAAACCGAGGGGCAGAGGTTAATTGTAAAATCTTTACTTTCCTACCAGAAATTACCATGTGAAATTGTTTTTAATTAATCGTGTTATACAAAGAAAACTAAGACCCGGTTTATAGAAAGCGAAATTAAAGTTAATTTGCGTTTAACTTTTAACTGAGGTCTGTTCTTAGGCAACGTGAATGTTTTAACCAATCATGGGCTCATATTCCTCATTTTAATCTTGTGCTAAATTAATCGATGATTAAGTATTTAGTTCGCTTTTCTATAAACCGGCCCTAGGTGTATTAATTAAAAAAGAAAACCAAAACTGAAGCCCCACCCATCTGTCTCGATCTCAATTGTGATGAATTTTTCATTGGTTGTCACACTAAGGGGCGGATCGTAATTGCAAAATCGATATTTCCCTATACAGATTTATCATTTTAAACATGTTTTAAGTGCCTTGTATCTTTTATCAACAAATCTAGAGATTCTCAACCGAGGCTTCGAACCAACTTTCGTAACATCGCGTAGTCAGTCAGTAATAGATATTACACTGGCTACATGGGATATCTCACGATTTATATTGGAATGGCACGTCTCTAAAGAGGCGTCAGTGTAAGACCATAGATGGATTATGTATATATTAAAAGGTATAGATAAAGATCTACAGGAACCCTAGGCTGACGAACTGGGCTTTATACAACGAAGAACTGGACGACAGACTGGGGACCTCCGTGCAGTCTATACCAACAGAATACAAATCGACAGAAGACATAGAGAAAACCTTGACCATTATCAACGACTCTCTAATGTCAGCGTATGAAAAAAGTTGCCTACTGAAGAAGGAAGGGTCTGGGCAATGGTACACCATGGTGGAACCGAAGGCTCAGCCTACTTCAAACGGGGCTAAGAAAACTTTTCAATAGAGCAAAAAACACTAAGAAAACTGAAGACTGGGAAGCCTATCAAGAGTACCGGAAAGAGTTTAAGAAAGAATTAAGAAATAGGAAACGGGAAGCGTGGAGATCCTTCTGCAGCGACATAACGTCGACTGCTTCGGCCACAAGGCTGAAGAGAGTTCTCTCGAAGGACCATACACATGAACTACGTTTCCTAAAGAAAGAAGATGGTACCTTTACAGTCACCTTAGAAGAGTCCGCAGAACTTTCGCTGCAGACCATGTTTCCAGGTAGCACAAGGACTACCTCCCATTCCAAAAGGGATGTAGCCGGTACTCAACTTTCTCAGAAGGACTGGGCGCTGGCGGCAAAGGTAGTCACGGAGGCAAGACTGGAGTGGGCAGTGGGCAGCTTTTCCCCATATAAATCTCCGGGAGTTGACGGTATTTATCCCGCCCTCCTGCAGAGTGGAATGAGCAGACTACGCCCTATTTTGTTGCCAATGCTTCGGGCATGTCTGGCTTTCAGCTACATACCGAATGCATGGCGAAAAGTAAAGGTTATCTTTATACCTAAGTCAGGACGACAAGATTACGCCTTGTCTAAATCTTACAGACCAATTAGCTTAACATCATTCTTGCTGAAAACGCTAGAAAGACTAAGCGAAAAAGAGATTCGGGACACTGCTTTGAGCAAGCAACCTCTACATTCGAACCAACGTGCCTACATCCAAGGAAGATCCACCGATACGACCCTACACACAGTTACAAACCGTATAGAGTGGGCGATGGAGAACAAACTCTTCACCTTAGGAATGTTTTTGGGTATTGAAGGAGCGTTTGATAAAACGACCTTCAAAAGCATAGAACTAGCCCTACGAGAGCACGACGTGAACTCCACCCTAAGTAGGTGGGTGGCCGGTATGCTGAGGAATAGGTAAATACTGATTAATGTAAGTGGCACTGAGATCGAGGCTGTTGCAGGCAGGGCAGGGGATGTCCTCAGGGAGGAGTTCTCTCTCCTGTACTGTGGGATACTGTCGTTGACAGCCTGATACGCAGACGATCTAGTCATTCTGCTAACACGAAAAAACGCAGATGCATTATGTGAGATATTGCAAGCTGCAGTAAAAATAGTCGAAGAATGGTGCAGCAGGCATACCCTCTCCGTTAATGGAGAGAAGACGAAACTAATCCTGTTCACTAGGAAAAGGAAAATTGGCACACTACAGATGCCAAAAATAATTAACACAACGCTTCAACTTTCGGACGAAGTCAAATACCTGGGAGTTGTATTGGACTGGCGACTGAATTGGAAGAAGCATGTAGATGATAAAGTGGAAAACGCACGCTCGGCTCTTTGGCAATGTCGTAGGGTGGTGGGAAAGTCGTGGGGTTTAAATCCCAAGATCGCCCTCTGGATCTACACGGCAATAGTCAGACCGATGCTATGCTATGGAGCTTTAGTTTGGTGGCCCAGAGCCAGACAAAAAACAACAGCCCTGCAACTTGAACACGTTCAGAGAATGGCGTGTCTCAGTGTTACAGGAGCAATGAGGACCACTCCCACAGCGGCGCTGGAGACTCTTCTTTGCTGAGCACCTCTTAACCTTTACATAGAGGAAGCGGCAATGACGACGTCTCTAAGACTTCACACTCTGGGAGTATGGTACAAGCAAGACCGCACAACGAAGCACACTCGGATCTTAACGGAGGCGTTCAACAGAATACCCTTGTTAAGGATGGGTTGTGACCGAATGGGCACAAAATTAATGTATGAGAAGACATATAGAATATCAACGAATGATAATTCAGAAGGACGAGCCGACATTGATATCTATGTCGATGGTGCCAAAACAGATAGTGGTTCAGGAGCCGGCATCTACTCCGAACAATTGAACGCACAAATCAGTGTACCTCTCGGCACCCACACGTCTGTCTTACAAACAGAACTGATGGGAATAATGCTGGGAGCTAGAATCATTGCTGAACGTGAAATCGGCAACAAATCAATACGCATACTTACTGACAGCAAGTCTGCACTACTAGCCCTGGACAGCTGTATGGTTCGATCCGGGCTGGTTTGGGAGTGCAGACAAACGCTAAGGTATGTAACGCCGAGGAATAGTGTGGAACTTTGTTGGATCAAAGGACACAGTGGCAACGAAGGAAACGAGAGGGCAGATGAGATGGCGAAGCGAGCCGCGCGCATGCCCTTCTGGGGACCCGAACCGGCAATCACGCCTTCGGTCGACCTCTCGAACGAACTCGTAAAGTAATATACCCACAGACACCATGAGCAGATATGGGCGACGTTGAGCAGCTGTCGCCAAAGTAGAGCTTGTATGGCAACACCAGACCGTAAGTTGACGAAATTTTATCTCTCACTTTCAAGAGACAAACTGCGTAAACTGGTAGGATTCCTTACGGGACATTACCAGTTTAACAAACATCTACATACGATAGGGGTGGTAATAGACCCAATTTGTCGTGGATGCAATGAAGAAGAGGAAACAGCTGAGCACATTCTTCGTGAATGTCCAGCCCTAGCCTCCTACAGGGAATCCATACTAGAGGACATCTGGCCTAGTATGGCAAAAATCAGGGAGTTTCCACCCTTTGCATTACTCAGGTACATTCAAGCAGTTGGGTGGCTTGACGAGTAGAGGAGCGGGAAAACACCCTGATATAGACTTGGGGAAGGTACAATGGGCTTAAAGGCGAGGCCTAAGTGCCGGCTGGCTATGGTCAGCCCCCATAATTAAGAATCCAGAATCCAAAATCCAGAAGTGCCTTGTTGTGAAAATATGACTACACATATTAAGAAAAAAAAGGCAATCTCAGTAATGGAACTTCAGTAGTTTTAAATTTGTAACAGGGACAGCGACAGCGTAGGAATTTTAGCGCATTTTGTTCTGTTAGGTTGATGCCAACTTACATGTCAACTGTCAAGAAATCCCAATCTCTCACCGGAATTACTATATCTGGCGCTACATTTAGAAAGTGATCCACTTGCCCTTTGGTAAATACCTTTGCCTTCTTTGATTGATGAAAGTTGACATTGAATATTGTGCCCGAAGACTTGATCGTCCCATTTTAGTCGATAAATTCCAAAAATATACCACAAGAACATCTTCTGTATAAGATTGCCAACTTTTTTCTTTGCACCAATTCATGAAACGTCTATAGGCAAATTCATAAATTTCACGAGACCTTGGTGGAAGCAAATTCAAATAAACTTCTCTTGCACAGAATATATCTGCAGGTACTTTTAGAATTTCATTTGAACTCATTTTTATGAAAATTTCATAAACTCATCAAGTCAACACTAATATGAAAAATGCGAACAGGGCTAAATTTTCCGATTTCAATTTTTTTTTTCTCGGTTGGAGAAGAAATAATATATGTTATATGTATATATAATATCAATTGCTCCTCAAAAAATATTGAACTTTTAATCCTAATAAAAAGTTTTACTTTTTGCTGCGCCGGCACTAAAACAAATTAACGAAATAATTTCCACTATTTTTAGAAAATTTTGTTTTGAGAAACTCTTTATTGAAGTGAAAATCTCTTTTAGGCAAGAATTATACTTTTTATCCAGTCAAGATAGGGATGTGTCCTTGTATATCCCGAAGGATCAGTACTCTGACAGCCATTTCCACTTACAAAACTTGCAATTCCTGTGTGCACCTGTGCTCCTCTACTTACAATTTGTATTAGTGCGCTACCTGTGTCACCCTACAATTCGTATTAAATATTAAAACTGAATAAAAAAGCAGAAAAAACCCTACTATGCAGGTTCCTTCATTATAAGATCCAGCGACACAAAGCATGTTATCAGTAAGTTGGCTCCCATATGTGAATCTACATTCTTCATTTGATATTGAGACTACTTGAACCCCCTGAAGATGCTCAGACAACTCAGGATCGTCTAAAATCATTTAGTACACATTTAAGTGTTAAAGCTAGTGGACTAATTGAAATAGTAACTACCATCACTAGTCTGTCCCCATCCTATTGCCACGAGACTAGTAGAATTTCCTACTGGAGTGGAGTCTGCATAGTATATTGTGTTAACGTAGTCTAAAAGAAAACTTTATGTACCTATTGAGAAAAAAATCAAATAAAATTTACGTACTTGTAAACTCTACTGGAATTCTTAGTTTGATAAGTCCTACGTCATTTTCCAGTGTAGTTGGGTTGAATTCTGGATGTATAACGTATTCTGACGTGGCAACAATTACTCGATTGGTATCATCCTCGGTTAATTTGTTGGACCCTATCTGAATTGTAAATAGCGTTGCCCTAAATATGTCAGTCATTAGACACTTCAGTCAAAGTTAAACTAAAATATATTTAGTACCCGTTAACGCATTGTCCGGCAGTTATAATCCACTGGTTTGTAAGAAGAGATCCTCCGCAAAAGAATCTGCTAGTTTCTGTAGTAACAGTGATAGCAGCGGCAAATTTGTATTGTCCGGCGTTAGCGTCAAGTCCACCAATTATTCTTGAATCTAAAAATAGAGGAAATTAAACTTGATTAAACACCAACCTATAATAATTTTCTGAATTGTCTGTTATCGATGTTCCTACCTCTAGAAATCTCTTCCTAAAAAGATCAGTATTAAGATATATATGATGACACTTTTGTGCTAGAATGTATTTACCGTCTGGTGGACATTAATCAAAGCTAGTAGTAGTAGAAAAGATGCCGCAACTTTCAGATGCATTTTAACAACAGAATATTTTGTGTTTGTAGGAAAAAAAAACATTTATAGGAATTGACTGCATTACACAAATTGTTTAGATATCTTATCAAAGTTTTATTATAGAAATAATATTTTAATTATTTTAGAATTTGATGTCATTTAGATGTTATAAAAAATAACAGTGTCGCAGTATTTTTGTTGCTTGGAAAATTACCAGCAAATTTACGAGTAAGCCTTAAAATCTTTTAGATGGATCTAGCAATGTTAAGTGGCAACTCAGTCAAACTTTCAGATTTTTTAATTTTTTCGGATTTTTGATATTCCGATTTACTGACTTTTCAATTTTCTCGCTACTTTAATTTTTTATTTTTTATAATTTTAAAATTTTCGATTTCTCAATTTTTCGGTTTTTCGACTTTTCTATGAATTTCTCCATCTTTTGATGATTCGATTTCTCGCTGTCTTTGATTTTTTATGTTTCGATTTAGCGATTTTTCAATTTGCCATATTTTAATTTTTCAATTAAAATTTTTGATTTTTCGATTTCTCGATTTTCGATTTTTAAAACTTCATTTCTCGATTGTTTGATCTCACCATTTCTCGATTTCTCGACTTAATTAATTTTTCGATTTTTCAGGTTTCTGATTTTTAATTTTTCGATTTTTTAAAATTTCAATTATTCTACTTCGATTTTCCAATTTTTCAATTTTTCGATTTCTGAATTTTTTGATGTTTCAGTTTTGGGATTTTAAAATTTTTGATTTTTCGATTTCTCGATTTTTCGGTTTTTCAATTTTTCGATTTTTAAAACTTGATTTCTCGATATTTTGTTTTTCCCATTTTTCGATTTATCGACTTTTAAATTGTTCGACTTTTCAGGTTCTTGATTTTTCAATTTTTCGATTTTTAAATTTTTGATTTCTCCACTTCGATTTTTCGACTTCGATGTCTCGATTTATCAATTTTTCAATTTTTCAATTGTGTTGTTTCAGTTTTGGGATTTTGCAATTTTTTGATTCTTCAATTTTTCAATATTTCAGTTTTGAGATTTTTCGATATTTCGATTCTTCAATTTTTCGATTTTTGGATCTTTCGATTTCCCGAATTTTTTACTTATCGATTTTGCAATTTTTCGAATTTTGAATTTTACTTTTTTGTTTTTTCGGATTTTTGATATTTCGATTTATTGATTTTCCAATTTCTCGATAGTTTAATTGTTCAATTTTTATAATACATATTAGAATTTTCGATTTCTCATTTTTCGATTTTTCAGTTTTTCGATTTTTCAATTTTTCGATTTCTCAATTTATCGAGAAATTTTACATTTCGCGATTTTTTTTAATTTAATTTTTTATTTTCAAATTTTCCGATTCTGGCTCATTTTGATTTCTCAATTTTTCGATTTTTCGACTTTTCGATTTCCGAATTTCTCAATAGTTTGATGATTCGATTTCTCGATGTCTCAATCTTTTGATTTTTACAATTTTTGATATTTCGATTTTTCCATTTTTACTTCTTCAATTGTTTAATTTCAGATTTTTAATTTTTTCAATTTTTTTCTTTTGATTTTTGAATTTTTAAAATTTTTGATTTTTCGATTTCTCGATTTTTCGGTTTTCCAATTTTTTGATTTTTAAAACCTGATTTCTCGATATTTTGTTTTTCCCATTTTTCGATTTATCGACTTTTAAATTGTTGAATTTTTTTAGGTTCTTGATTTTTCAATTTTTCAATTTTTAAATTTTTGATTTTTCCACTTTGATGTCTCGATTTAACAATTTTTCAATTTCTCAATTTTGTTATTTCAGTTTTGGGATTTTGCAATTTTTTGATTCTTCAATTTTTCAATATTTCAGTTTTGAGATTTTTCGATATTTCGATTCTTCAATTTTTCGATTTTTGGATTTTTCGATTTTTCGAATTTTACTTTTCGATTTTTCAATTTTTCGTTTTCTCAATTTATGGAGAACTTTTCCGTTTCTCGATTTTTTTAAATTTAATTTTTTAATTTTTCGTTTTCCAATTTTCCGATTCTGGCTCATTTTGTTTTCTCAATTTTTAGATTTTTCGACTTTTCGATTTCCGAATTTCTCAATATTTTGATGATTCGATTTCTCGATGTCTCAATCTTTTGATTTTTACAATTTTTGATATTTCGATTTTTCCATTTTTACTTCTTCATTTGTTTAATTTCAGATTTTTAATTTTTTCAATTTTTTTCTTTTGATTTTTGAATTTTTAAAATTTTTGATTTTTCGATTTCTCGATTTTTCGGTTATCCAATTTTTTGATTTTTAAAACTTGATTTCTCGATATTTTGTTTTTCCCATTTTTCGATTTATCGACTTTTAAATTGTTGAATTTTTCAGGTTCTTGATTTTTCAATTTTTCAATTTTTAAATTTTTTATTTTTCCGCTTTGAACTCTGGATTTATCAATTTTTCAATTTCTCAATTTTGTTGTTTCAGTTTTGGGATTTTGCAATTTTTTGATTCTTCAATTTTTCAATATTTCAGTTTTGAGATTTTTCGATATTTCGATTCTTCAATTTTTCGATTTTCAGATTTTTTGATTTCTCGAATTTTACTTTTCGATTTTTCAATTTTTCGAATTTTAAATCTCAGTTTTTTATTTTTTCGGATTTTTGATATTTCTATTTATTGATTTTCCAATTTCTCGATAGTTTAATTGTTCAATTTTTGTAATACATATTAGAATTTTCGATTTCTCCATTTTTCGATTTTTCAGTTATCCTATTTTTTTAATTTTTCGTTTTCTCAATTTATCGATTTTTTTTTATTTTTCATTTTCCAATTTTCCGATTCTGGTTCATTGTGATTTTTCAATTTTTCGATTTTTCGACTTTTCGATTTCCGAATTTCTCAATATTTTGATGATTCGATTTCTCGATGTCTCAATCTTTTGATTTTTACAATTTTTGATATTTCGATTTTTCCATTTTTACTCCTTCGATTTTTAAATTTCAGATTTTTAATTTTTTCAATTTTTTCTTTTGATTTTTGAATTTTTAAAAATTTTTGTTTTTTCGATTTCTCGATTTTTCGGTTTTTTTGATTTTTCGATTTTTAAAACTTGATTTCTCGATATTTTGTTTTTCCCATTTTTCGATTTATCGACTTTTAAATTGTTCGACTTTTCAGGTTCTTGATTTTTCAATTTTTCGATTTTTAAATTTTTGATTTCTCCACTTCGATTTTTCGACTTCGATGTCTCGATTTATTAATTTTTCAATTTCTCAATTTTGTTATTTCAGTTTTGGGATTTTGCAATTTTTGATTCTTCAATTTTTCAATATTTCGTTTTTGAGATTTTTCGATATTTCGATTCTTCAATTTTTCGATTTTTAGATTTTTTGATTTCTCGAATTTTACTTTCCGATTTTTCAATTTTTCGAATTTTAAATTTCAGTTTTTTATTTTTTCGTATTTTTGATATTTCGATTTATTGATTTTCCAATTTCTCGATAGTTTAATTGTTCAATTTTTGTAATACATGTTAGAATTTTCGATTTCTCCATTTTTCGATTTTTCAGTTGTCCGATTTTTCAATTTTTCGTTTTCTCAATGTATCGATTTTTTTAATTTTTTATTTTCCAATTTTCCGATTTTTCGACTTTTCGATTTCCGAATTTCTGAATATTTTGATGATTCGATTTCTCGATGTCTCAATCTTTTGATTTTTACAATTTTTGATATTTCGATTTTTCCATTTTTACTCCTTCGATTTTTAAATTTCAGATTTTTAATTTTTTCAATTTTTTCTTTTGAGATTTGAATTTTTAAAAATTTTTGTTTTTTCGATTTCTCGATTTTTCGGTTTTTTAATTTTTCGATTTTTAAAACTTGATTTCTCGATATTTTGTTTTTCCCATTTTTCGATTTATCGACTTTTAAATTGTTCGACTTTTCAGGTTCTTGATTTTTCAATTTTTCAATTTTTAAATTTTTTATTATTCCACCTCGATTTTTCGACTTCGATGTCTTGATTTATCAATTTTTCAATTTCTCAATTTTGTTGTTTCAGTTTTGGGATTTTGCAATTTTTTGATTCTTTAATTTTTCTCCCATTTTTCAATTCTTCAATATTTCAGTTTTGGGATTTTTCGATAATTCGATTCTTCAATTTTTCAATTTTTCGAATTTTATATTTCAGTTTTTTATTTTTTCGGATTTTTGATATTTCGTTTTACTGATAGTTTAATTGTTCAATTTTTAGAATTTTCGATTTCTCCATTTTTCGATTTTTCAGTTTTTCAATTTTTCAGTTTCTGGATTTATCGAGAACTTTTAGAGTTTGCGTTTTTCTTTTAACCTTTATTTTTTCAATTTTTGACATTCCAATGTTCGGACTTTGGCCTATTTCTCAATCTTTTGATGATTCGACTTCTCGATGTCTCAATCCTTCGATTTTTAAAATTTGTGATTTTTGGATTTCTCCATTTTTACTTCTTCGATCTTCAAATTTCAGACCTCTAATTTTTTCATTGTTTTATCTTTCGATTTAATAATTTTTCAATTTTCTATATTTTAATTTTTGCATTTTGAAAATTTTTGGGTTTTCGACTTCCCAATTTTTTGGTTTTTCAATTTTTTGATTTTTAAAACTTGATTTCTCTGTTTTTTGAAATTTGAAAGTCCGTAAGTCTCAAACTGTTTTATTTTAGTAGTCAAAATTACGTTTACGAGGAGTGAATTTGAAACCTTGTGGAAATAAGTTCCTACGTTTTTTCCATTCGTTTAAAGTCCAATAAAATTCAATCTGCTAAGATATGCATCTAAACAAGAACAATACGCTGCAGGGAAGATCAATGTTTAAATTTAGCATGACTTTCGTAGGATTATTAAAAAGCTTTTGATTCCATTAATCACCAGTTGTTTTGTTTAAAATTAGCACACATGGGATAGGACAGATTTGTTTTAAATTTGATCTAATCTCTATCAGTAACCATTTTTTAAATTCCCGTCTATGCATGTCAGATGTTCAAGGTTCATTTCTACGACCTTTATTGTTTCTTAGTTACGTTATTATTTTGTTAGAATGACGTTATAAATACATGTTAACTTAACAAAGCTAAATTTTCATTGGTCGATTTTTTTTCTGACGAAACAAAAATTTTTGTTCATATTTTGTAAGATAAAAAAGTCGAAAAATTTACGAGTTAATCTAGCGCAGATACGTCGGTTTTAGAACCAAGAAGAAATCCTATGTAGGGCGAAATTAGACCTTATAAAACTGCGAAATACGATCTAAGGCGCATGGATTAATTTGTGCATTTATTCCGTTTAATTTATCCTACAATAATCATCACTCTGGATGAAATAATTCAGTTTGAGTTGTTCGTTGATTTCTGAGAATAATTTCTAATTTCACTTTGACATTTGGATTTTGCATGGTTAATCCAAAGACGCGATCGCTTCGACAGTGCGACGGAACATTTCGTGACAAATCGGATCGCGCGCGAATTTCAAAATACGATTTTTAAAACCTTTTTACAGAAAATGAGCGCGATTCAACGATTTGAAAAAAATACTGGCCGATAGCCCTCTTAGACCTCCACAAAGGCATCACTAATTAATTCGCTATGTCCAGACTAGGATGTGGCACCCTGTATATTTTTTCTCTCTCACACTTTCGTTGTCATATAAGAGCGTGTTCTGCACTTAAACGAATATCAAAATTTTGTCAAAGAAACAAATAATCATTAATGTGTTAACGAATTTATTAACTTTTTGTAATATAAGAATCTCGTTCAGGTTAGAATTGTATTTTGTATCCAATCAAGATAGGGATGTGTTCTTGTATATCCTGAAGGATCAGTACTTTGACAGCCATTTCCGCTTACAAAACTCGCAATTCCTCTATGTGCCTCTGCTCCTCTACTTCCAATTTGTACTAGTGCGCTACCTGTGTCTCCCTAAAATGTGTGGCATTAAAATTAAATGAAAAACCAGAACCTTACCCTACAATGCAGGTTCCTTGATTAAAAGATCCAGCGACGCAAATCATGTAATCAGTAACTTGGCTTCCGTATGTCAATCTACATTCTGTATTGGATATTGAGGAAACTTGAACATAATTAAGATGTTCAGACAACTCAGGATCGTCTAAAATGGTTCAGTATATTTAATTGTTGTTAATCGAAATAGTATCTACCATCACTAGTCTGCCCCCATCCTATTGACAAGAGACTAGACTTATTTCCTACTGGGGTCGGATCTTCATAGTATATTGTGTTAAGGTAGCCTGAAACAAAACTTCGTCTATTGAGAAAAAAATAAAAAAATAATTACGCACTCGTAAACTCTACTGGAAGTCTTAGTTTGATGAGCCCTACGTCATTTTCCAGTGTTGTTGGGTTGAATTCTGGATGTAGAGCGTACTCGGACGTGGCGACAGTTACTCGATTGGGATCATCTTCAGTTAGTGTGTTGGACCCTAGCTGAATTGTAAATAGTGTAGCCCTAAAAAATTCAGTTAGATAAGTAGACTTTGAAGTCAAATTTATTATCCGTTGACGCATTGTCCGGCAGTTAAAATCCACTGACTTGTGATAAGAGATCCTCCGCAAAAGAATCTGCTGGTTTCTGTCTGAACAGTGATAGCAGCGGCAAATCTATATTGTCCGGTTCTGGCGTTAGTTCCGCCAATTATTCTTGAACCTAAAAAGAGTGATTTAAACTTGATTAAATGCCAAACTATAATAATTTTCTGAATTGTCGATTATCGGTGCTTCTACCTCTAGAAATCTCTTCCTGAAAACATGAGGATTAATATAGGAATGACACTGTTTTTGTCATAGTGTGTTTACCGCATGGTGGACAACAATTAAAGTTGATAATATTAAAAACGCTGCAATAATATTCACATGCATTTTAACAACAAAATATTCTAGTGTTTATAGTAAAGACATTTATAATAGTCAACTGCACTACACAAATTGTTTATCTTATCAAGATTTTATTATAGAAATAATATTTTAATTATTTTAGAATTTCATGTAATTTAGGTACTATAAAAACTAAATAGTGCCTTAGTATTTTTGTTGTTTGGAAAATGACAAGCAAGTTTGCACTGTTTTATGAGTAAGCTTTACAGCCTGTTAACTGGAAGTTTAAATTGCTTCAGATTATATGGTAGTCAAAGCGTTCATCCAAGCTCAAAATAACAAAACATTCGTTTTATATCTTAGTGCTTGCGTACGTACTACGTCCTTGGGCATTTAGTCAAGTTCAAAACTTAGAGGCGGCACGTTTTCACGACACTTTTTTGGTGAAAATTAATTTGGAGAAAGTTTAAAATATTTTGCTTTCTTTTTGGTTTTCCTGTAACAATTTACATACTTATCTATATAGGGATCAGAATTTATTTTAGTGTTTTTATCACAGGATTAATATCTATGATTGAATAAAGAAATAATCGATATTATCGGCTCATATATCAAAATCAATCATCCATCTTCCTGTGGATAATCATCAAGTTCTACATGGGAAGTGAAGTACTTTATTGGTACTTACTAGTTTTACTATTTTTTTTAAGATAATATCTGTAATACTAATGTCAACCACTATTAAGGCTATCTGTAAGTGGCCACACAATGAAATATGGCCATTGAAATTTAAAACGCTATTAACAGTCTCACACGTTTTTATTTTAATTGTAACATTCACGTTTACGAAGAGTGAATTGGACACGTTCTTGAAATAAGTTCTTATGTTTCTTTTATTCGTTTAACGTCCAATAAAATTCTAGTAATTTTAGATATCCTTTATTTCCTTATCGTCTCCCATACTCTCCCATAGTCGCCGTTTTCGGATTGTATTTGTAATTATTGGACTATTACAGAATTTATTTCTTCATTTCTTCTAAAAACTTATTTGACCTGACCTGACCTGAAAATTTTGAATCTCATTTGAATTTTCCTTATCGAGATGTTCCTCTATAGGTAGTACCTTCATACATCTGTTTTAGTTAATACTGTTATTAGTATTATTCTAAACTTATCTAAACCGATATATTTGTCCTAACTTAAAAGTGGATGGCGTCTTTACATTAAAAAAAAAAGAATGGCTACTTTTATGTTTTTTCGACGTTTCATGATCCCTAGAGTACGTTCGTTTTCGTCTATATGTGTCGAATTTTATTTGCTTTTCTTTTTTTTGTCTATTTTTGGTCCGCTTTTTGTTACATGTTTTGAAGCGTTTTCTGTCACTTTTTGTCTCCCCTTTTTTGATCATTGTTTTGTCATCTTCTTATGCTTTTTTGTCGTTCTTTATCATATTTGTTGTGTCCATTTTTTGCTACTTTTTTAATGCGTTTTATGACCGGTTTTTTCGCCATTTATTTGTCGCGTTTTGTGTTATTTTGTTAAAATTTATTACGGATTTCTTTTCCCTTTTTACTTTAGCAAAAGAAGTATTGTAATCGAGTCCGTCGGCCAACTCTCTACTTTTACGTTTTCTCTACCTTTCATGACAGTCGAAGAAATCTCCCGTTTTCGTCTGTCTGTCTGTCCGTCTGTCCATCTGCCTGTTTGTGTGTAAAACGCTAACCGAAATTTGTCCCCATCAATAAGCGTCACTTCAAAATTGTACCTAGTAAATGGGTTTTAAATTGTATAAAATAACATAGTCCTACACATCTTGTTTACGAAGCCGTGTTGAGTTTTTACCCAAAACGTCCAGATTTTTGGAAAAAAATCAAGATTAGAAAACAACATTTTGAATTTAATTTAGAATCTGGAAAACCGAATGCTGTGAAATTTTGCACATCTTTTAAAGTTATGATAAGCGTGACAAATTTTTATTCAAAATATGTTTAGTTCTCTCCAAAAAATTGATGACGTCAGCTCAAAATTTTGCCGAATAAATCTTAAATGTGCAAAATATGATGAGTATATGCTTGTGATTTATCACTGCAAAAATAATTTTCAAATTTGCTTATACAGGATGTTTAAAAAAAATGAATGCGTGAATTTATTTTAATGATTTAATCATGAACTGCAAAACCGGATCCTTTGAAATTTTGGAGATATTTTAAAGTTATCATAAGCATGGTAAATTTTTGATCAAAATAAATTTGCTCATCTCTCAAAATTCTTTTAATTAATTAACAAAAAAAGAATTTTCATGGGCTCCTCAAATAATACACTATGGGTAACCAAAAAGATCTAGCTAATTTTCGAAAATGGTTGAAAAATGGTCAAAATCAGTCCTCTAATAAAATGCTAGACCCTCCCACCCACCCTCTTTTTCTTAGAGGGTATGTTATTTGCTAAAGTCGGTTTTATCTTGGCAAGTACTAGCCCCGCCCACCCGCCCTCTATTGTTTTGGAAGGTATGCCATTTGCCAAGATCAGTCTTATCTTACCAGAAACTAGCCCCGCCCACCCCCGCTCTTCTCAGTTTAACGACTAATTTTATTTCTGTTCAGTAAAAGATCATTTATTTGATTAAGAACAGATAAAATCAATCACTGAAATGGAGACAGGGTGGGTGGGTGGCTGGGGTTAATTATGTTCTTCTGTCGAGTGGGTGTGGATTCTTGAATATGAAAAAAGTAAAAAATAAGCGCTAATCGTAACTTTTTTGTTATACTATCGCGGATTAGAAATCTCGCAAAAATTCGGATTGAAAATGAATTTCAAATGACTTTAGCAAATTTTCGAAAATGGTTGAAAATTTCAAAAGTGTCAAAATCAGTCATATCTTATAAAATGCTAGCCCCACCCACCCACCCTCTTTCTCTTACAGGGTATATTATTTGCCAAAAGCAGTTTTTTCTCAGCAAGTATTAGCCCCGCCCACCCACCCTCTCTTTTCTTAGAGGTTTTGTTATTTGCTAAAATCAGTCTTATCTTATCAATTACTGATGACGTCAGTTCAAAATTTTGCCGAATAAATCCTATCTTAAATGTGCAATGTATGATGAGTCTATGCTTGCGATTTATTACTGCTTTAATATTTTTTAGATCTGCTTATACAGGTGTCTGAAAAAAATTAATGACTGAGTCAAATTATTTTCTTAATTAAATCAAGGCTCGCAAAACTAAATACTTTGAAATCTTGCAGACGTTTTAAAGTTACTGTGAGCATGGGAAATCGTTAATCAAAATTATTATTATTACCCAGAAAAAATTAATGACGTCATCTCAGAATTTTGCGGAATAAATTCTACCGAAAGTGTGCAAAATGTGATGAGTTTTTACTTGTTATTTATCATTGCATTCATATTTTTTAGATTTGCGTAAACAAGTGGCCCAAAAAAATGGGTCAATTTATTTTATAGAATAAATCAGAATGGCCTACTCCATTTTAGTCACATTTTCTTGTAGTTATCTTTTGCCGCGTTCTTTTTGTTCTTTTTTTAATCACCTTTTTCCACTTTTTTTGCCTTTTTGTTTGTCTTTAATCATCTTTTTTTCGCTTTTTCGCCTTTTATTGCTTGCGTTTTTTATCTATTGGTTTAATTCCTTTTTTGTTATCTTTATATGCCTTTTTTTGTCATTCTTTTCTCTTTGTTTAATCCTGTTTTTTTTTACTTGTGTTGTTGAGGTTCTAACTCAGTTTGACCTCATTGTACTGAAACCACCATTATATAACTAGTGATTTATTTTCTGACACAGCTGTAGCTTAAGTTAGCGCCAGCTTCAATATTTTTAGACACTTTGGTAGTTTAAAAATTGTTCAAACTATAAAATATTAAGAATTATTATTTTCGACAATCCTAGTTCTATTGATTATTAAAAATGTTATTTAACCCCAAAGCCCAAAGAGACTCAAACTTTTTTTTTCGACGATAAAATGTCAATTTCAGTGTGTTGCACGTGAGTTTTCAGTTCATTCAGTATAATTTTTCTGCAAAAGTATGCTATTCTCGTACATATTTTGTAAGTTTTCGTTTATTATTTTTATTCATTTTGAATTTTTTATTTGCTCAATTTTTCCTTACTTTAATAGATAGTGTTTTCATCCTTCATCCTGAACCTCGTTTGTTAACTGATTATTAAATTGGTGTGAACTACGAGTATTTCGTCCATGATTTACTAAGTTCTAACTTAGGTGCATCGGCTTAGATTAATTCGCTGTGAAGTTAAAATAAACTTTTCTTTTTTATTAAGACAATCATTATGCTTAGATAGAGCAAAAGGAACGAAAGGGGACCAAGAAAATAATAAAAATTGTTAACTAATTTATTTAGAATTTATATCATTAATAAAAATTGCATCGTCTAAAGCTCCAGTTGCGTGATATTTCTAATCCATGCATTGTATGGGAAAGTTCTTGTAAATCCTGAGGGATCTGTGCTTTCACAACCGTTGAAACTAACAAAGCTTGCAATACCAACAGGAATTGAGTGTCCGGTACTATAATACTGAATCAAAGCGCTACCAATATCACCCTGCAAAATAATAAACATATGGAGCAATATAGAATAAGAAAATAATTGTTATTTTACACTTACGTAACATGTCCCTTCATTATAGTTTCCTTCAACACAAACCATAGTGTCGGTAATTTGACTTCCATATGTAAGTGAACACTCAGCATTTGTTACAGTTACAACACGAACCCACTGTAGCGCATTAGAAAGACCAGCATCCTCTGAAAACTTAAACATAGTATACTTCAGATATGTAGAATAAAACCTACCATCAGAAATCTGCCCCCATCCAAAAACTGAAGCTGAAACGTAATCTGGTACCTCAGATACTGGAAGCCTTTCAATGGGTTGAATATAATCTATCACAAATACAAATTACGTAAAACTCCAGAAACTATACTAAGAAATTTTACACAAATACCTGTGAAAGTAATAGGCAAACGAAGTTTAATAAGACCTATGTCATTTTGCAGAGTTTGCGGGTCATATTCGGGATGAAGTACGTACGAAGAAGTTGCAACTTCAATCTGTTCGGTTTCACCACCAGTCAGATGAATTGATCCCAGAAAGATTTGGAATAGAGTCGCTCTATAATCGTACAATCAATTATTTGACGAAAATGATTATGACAAAATGTTAAATTTACCCATAGACACATTGCCCTGCTGTTAAAATCCATTGATTAGAAAGAAGAGAGCCTGAACAGAAATATCTACTGGTAGGAGTTTGGACATAAATTGCCGCCGCAAAGGGAAACTGGAGGGGATGGGCAACATTTCCACCAATGATTCTTCCACCTAAAATTTTACCAGTAAACCTTTACTATATGTTTAATATCATCAATTTACCGCCAAGGTGCTTTCTGGGAACGATCTGTAACAAAATTATTATCATCATAAGTGGTTTTAAAGGAAAAATCTTAAAACTGCTCACCTTGCTGAATGGATTAGCTGCGCATAAAATGGAGCAGAAACATAGTGAAAGGAATATAGTAGTTTTCATGGTTTGGTTGAGATTTTGCAAAAATTAACAATCGACTGATATAGTGAAGCTACACAATCTTACGATTACAGATGAAATGTGTTTTTATAAGATTAAATTCAGAATATTATCAACAGAATCAATAAGTGCCGGGCAAATACTTCAAAAGATTATCACTAATATGGGCTGCTTAGGAAATGATCCATTCAAAAACGAGAAATTTCCATTTGCATTCATCCAGATAAAGCGTGCTGATAACATCTGATATTTTTTATAATTGTCAGATTATTATCAGAACAAAAAAAAAAAAATTAATGTAAAATCGACTATTTCAAAAAATACTTTTTTCTCCACAATTTATTATACTCGAATTTATTTCAAAATTTCTTGGCTTTTAATAGTCAAACCGATCTCGGATTTTGAATTAAGAATATCTAATTCAAAAGCCGGGATTTTTGCCTGCTTTAATTGTCGTTCCAAAGACACCTTTAAGACTCCGTACCTAAGTAATTTAAACCTGTTGATAAGATAACATTAAACAGAACTCTACATAAATTGTGCATTTTGGAGTCAAAAATTTACTCTAAAAAATGTTGCCTCGAAAAGTAACATTGTTTGCAGTTGTTGCATTTGCAACTTTGTGTTTGTGCCATGCTGGGGTAAGAAAACCATATAAATTTTCAAAATTCAACCAACTTTCTTCTTTCAGGATATTCACAATCCTAGAAGTAAGTTCAATAAAATTTGACTATTTGCATTTAACACAACTTCTAGAGGGACGAATTGTTGGTGGAACGGTGGCCTATCCAGCCCAGTTTCCCTTTATGGCAGCCATCACAATTCAAACTTCAATTAGCAGAATATTTTGTGTGGGTGTTCTTTTAAATAACCAGTGGATATTGACTGCTGCTCATTGTATAAATGGGTAAAGTATTTTTTAACTACTATCATTTTCACATTTTTTAATTATGCAACATAGGGCTGTTTTACTTACGATACAGATAGGATCCAACAGTTTATCACAAGCAGATTCTAATCGGTTAACCTTAGCCACTTCCACGTATGTGGTGCATCCAGAGTTTAATCCAGAAACTATCGAACATGACGTTGGTCTCATCAAACTTCGATTGGCAGTTGATTTTACAGGTGTTTGCACAAAACTATATTTCACTGTCTACTAAATATTTTTTAGATTATATCCGAGCCACAAGTTATTTACCATCATCCCCAATTGTAGCGTATCAGAGTGTACAAGCAGTAGGGTGGGGGCAAATAAGCGATGGTAAGTTGTTAACTGACTGTTAAATATTATTATTTTGACCAGAAATAGAAAATAGAAACATTGTTTGAGGTTAAAATTTCTGCAGGCTACACATAATCCAACCTATATCTTTCCTATTCCAACATCTATGCTTAAATTTTTAGTCGATGTTACTCTTTCGGATGAACTGAGATGGGTTCTATTGTCAGCAATATCTAACGAAGAATGTCGATTAACCTATGGAGCTCAAATCACAGATACTATGGTTTGCGCTAGTGGAAATTATAACGAAGGTCCTTGTCTTGTAAGTACGAATCTTGGAATTATGTTTTTGATCTCAGTTATTTATGTTTAGGGAGATAGTGGCGGTCCATTAATACATGTCCAAGACGGAGGTCGTGTAGAAATAGTAGCTGTTGCTAGTTTTGTCAGTGCCAATGGTTGCGAAAGTTCAGATCCGTCTGGATATACAAGGACGTATCCGTATGTAAATTGGATAAGAAATGTTACAGATATCTGGGATTAAAGATTTTGACTCTGTTCAATAAGACAAATAAAAAAAATGTCCCCACAAGTCTTTTGTTTCCGATTTATTGTTAGAAATTTTCCTCGGTTTTGTTCTTTGTTTACGCGGGCGCTCACCAGACCCCTGGAAATTCATGTCTCGGGTGGCGTGAAGGTGACCTCATAAGTCTAGGTAGGCCAAACGTGTTATTTTTCAGCGGCACTAGTAGGCCCAAGGCTTGACACTGAGGCACGCCACCCCCATGCGATTTCAGTGAAATTCCGGACCATCACCGACCCGCCGCCTATTCACCGGAGTTTGGTCTCAATACTGTTTACTTTTAAATCGGCAAGAGTCGTCTAGTCTTCCATAAGAATTGTAAAAATGTGACGGCTTGTGACACTTACGGACAAAAACCAATTACTGTTTTGCTATACTCTGTTTGTTGAATTTTTTTTTTGTAATTTTGGAAAAGGAAGGATCAACCTATGTTTGTCTAGTGTGGGTTTTTGCAATACCTAGATATAAATAAATTCGTTGAAATATTTGTCTGAAGTTGAATATCAAATCAGAAAATAATTTTATTTTAGTTTATTTTCTCACATGTAAAACGACTAAGTGAATATTTTTGGCACATATTTAGATGATTTTACATATTTTGTTTACTTATGAAGTAATTCTTTATTTGTATTTTATACTAGCAAAACGTCTTAAACTAAGAATCGAAAGACTGAGAGATTGAAAGATCAAAAGAACGAGAAATCGAAAAGTGATGAATTCGAAAAATCGAAAAATAGAGAAATCGACAAACAAAAGGTTAAAAGTTGGAAAAATCAAAAAACGAAAAATTGGAAAACTGGAAAAACTGAGAAACCGAAATAGGCCAAAATAAAAAATTGAAAAACTTATAAATGGAAAATCTGAACAATCAAATCTCGATAAATCGGGAATGAAAAATTAACAAATCGAAAAATTGAAAAACAGAACAGCTAAAACCAGGAAGTCGAAAAATCGAAAGATTAAGAAATATTGAAAAAATAAAATATCAAAAGATTGAAAAATTGAAAAATCCTATAACTGAAATATCTAAAAACTGAAAAATTGAAAAATCAAAAAAGTGAAGCCGAAAAATAGAAATCTTTAAAAACCGTAAAACTGAAAAATCAAAAACCGGAAAAAAAAAATTAAAGAATTGAAGAACAGAAAAATCGAAACACTTGAAGGTCAAGAAATGGGAAAATCAAAACATCGATTAATTGAAAAATCGAAAAATTGAGAGTTTATAAAAGTCAAATTTGAAAATTTAAAAAATTGAAAATTTCACAAAATGACAATTGAAAAACAGAAAATCTAAAACCAAGAAGTCGAAAAATCAAAAGATTAAGAAATCGAAACATTTGAAAAATTCGAAAACTTTGAAAAAATTGAAATATCGAAGAACTGAAATGAAAAATCGAGAAATCGAAAATTCTAAAATTCTAAAAATTTAAAAATCGTAAAAATAAAAAAATCGACACATCGAAAAATCCAGAAATTAAAAATCGAAAAGTCGAAGAATCGAAATATTGAAAAATTCCAAAACTGAAATTTCCAAAAACTGAAAAATGAAAGGAAAACCAAAAATGGGAAACTAAATCAGGAATCAAAACATTCAAAATTGGAAAATTTAAAACGACAATTGAAAACAGGAAATCTAAAACTGGGAAGTCGAAAAATCGAAAGATTAAGCAATCGAAAAATTGAAAAATCGAAAAAGTAAAAAAATCGACACATCGCCAACTCCAGAAGCTAAAAATCGAAAAGTCGAAATATTGAAAAATCCCAAAACTGAAATATCGAAAAACTGAAAAATGAAAGAAAAACTGAAAATTGAAAAACCTGAAAAATCCGAAAACTGAAATATCGAAAAACTGAGAACCTAAAAAGTCGGAAAATTGAGCAATCTAAAAATCCAAAAAGTGAAGTCGAAAAATCGAAACCTTTAAAAAACTAAAAAATTTTTAAAAATCGAAAAGTTAAATAATTGAAGAACAGGAATATGGAAACCCTCGAAAGTCAAGAAATGAGAAAATCAAAACATCGATTAATTGAAAAATCGAAAAATTGACAGTTTATAAAAGTTAAATTTGAAAAATTGAAAAATCGAAAATTTGAAAAAACGACAATTGAAAAACAGAAAATCTAAAACCGGGAAGTCGAAAAATCGATAGATTAAGAAATCAAAACATTTGAAAAATTCGAAAACTTGAAAAACTGAAATATCGAAGAATTGAAATGAAAAATCGAGAAATCGGAAAATCTAAAATTTTAAATATATAAAAATGTAAGTATCAAAAAACTGAAAAATCTAAAATTTAAAAATCGAAAAATGTAAAAAGTCGACACATCGAAAAATCCAGAAGTCAAAAATGGAAAATTCGAAGAACAGAAGTATTGAAAAATCCCAAAGCTGAAAGATCTAAAACTGAAAAATCCCAAAACTGAAATACCCAAAAGCTGAGAATTTAAAGAATCGAAAAATTGAGTAATCGAAAAATCAAAAAAGTGAAGTCGAAATATCGAAACCTTAAAAAAATCGAAAAATTGAAAAATCAAAATCCTGCAAAATCGTAAGATCGAAAAATTGAATAATAAATAAACTGAAAAATCCCAAAACTGAAATGTCCAAAAACTGAGAAATTTAAAAATTGAGAAATTGAAAAACCAAAAAACCTGAAAAATCAATTAATTGAAAAATCGACAAATAAAGAGTCTATAAAAGTCAAAAATTGAAAAATCGAAATACTTAAAAATAGTAAGATTGAAGAGAAAAACTGAAAACCGAGAAATTGTAAAATCCAAAAATTGAATTATCGGTATTAATAATAAACTTCCGTGCCGATTTTTTAAGTTGATAAAAAGTAAAATTATATAAAACTCGATAATATATAGGAGTACATTTTTTTTAAACTCAAGTTTAATTTTAAATGTAGGAGAATGTATTTAATTTAACTTAATTAAGAATTTCTACATTTTTATTCCCATAGATCCGTAGTATTTCTTATCCAGTCCACATACGGAAACGTCCTTGTATATCCTGAAGGATCTGGACTTTCACAACCATTTCCACTAACAAAACTAGAAACAGCAACTACTACCATACGACTTCCATTCAGGAGATGCACCAAAGGACCACCACTGTCCCCCTGAAACATTTATAAAATTAATATCAAAAAAATAGTTACAAAATCCTTACTTACAAGGCAAGGACCTTCATTATAATTGCCGCTGGCACAAACCATAGAATCTGTGATTTGACTTCCATACGTCAATCGACATTCTTCATTCGATATTGCTGACATTAGAACCCATCTCAGTTCATCAGAAAGACTAGGATCAGCTGGAAATTTACACATAAACTTATGTTATGTCTAAATTTCGTTTTGTAAACGTACCATCAGTTACTTGCCCCCACCCTACTGCTATAACGTTCTGGAATTCTAGAATTGGTGATGATGGTAAATAATCTACGGCTCTGATATAATCTAAAAAAGAATTTAGTAAACCTTGGAAAATAATTTTGTGCAAGAACCTGTAAAGTCAATTGGCAGTCGAAGTTTGATGAGACCAACATCATGGTCAAGTGTATCTGGATTAAATTCTGGATGTACGACATACGTGGAGGTGGCTAAAGTTACCCGATTAGAATCGGCTTCTGATAAACTGTTAGACCCTAATTGTATCGTGAATAAAACAGCCCTAAATATATATATATTTCACAATTACAACTTAAGTGAATAATAATTAAAAATACTTTACCCATTTACACAATGAGCAGCAGTTAAAATCCACTGGTTACTCAAAAGTGCCCCTACACAAAATATTCTGGTAGTTGAACTTTGAACTGTTATGGCTGCCATAAACGGATACTGGGCCGGATATGCTGGAGTTCCACCAATAATTCTTCCATCTAAAAGTTACGTTAAGGGCAAAATATGCAAATTTTATCGAACTTACTTTTATGGCTGAAGCTGTCCTAAAAGAAGAAAGATGGTTTAAGTTTGAAAATTTTTATGGTTTTCTTACCACATTATGGCCATAACACCAAGATATTGTTAATCCAAAAAGTGAAAGTACTGTTACCGATCGAAGTAACATTTTTTTGTGTTAATTTTTTACTCAAAAAAAGTATAGCTTATGTAGAATTTTGTTGGAATGTTATCTTATCGATGGGTTTATACTACTTAGACGTATGGTTTTAAAGGGGTCCTTGGAACGACTGCAGATAGGCTTTTCCGCCATTTCATTGAAAATAATTGAAGCTAATTTTGAGAATTTACACATAAAGCTTCTTTTATCGAGTCATAGTTATTACTATAATGTAATAAATTTTGGAAACAGTTCGCTGGAGTTATATTTTATCAGCACGCTTTTTACGAATGAATGCAAATTTCAATTTTTTTTTTAAGGGATCATTCACTAAGAAGTACATCTTAACGGTAATCTTTTAAAGTGTTTGTGTGATACTCACCTATTAATTCTATAGATAATATTACAAGTATAATCTTTTAAAGGCGTACTTCAGCTACTATCGCAAGATCGCATATTTTCGATCAACAAGTCCTTTTATAAATTTGTAAAACTGCAAATATTTTTTCTAAAAATGAAAACAATAGTGCTCTTTTCACTATTTTTCTGCTTGAATTTTTACCCAACCACTTCGTTGAGAAAGGTTTGTGTCCTTAAATAAAAAACCAATAAGATAATAACAATTTGATTATAGATTGTTCCTAGAAGAAATAGTACTAGAAACATTTCAGGTGGACGAATCATCGGGGGTCAAACTGCCAATCCAGCCCAATTCACTCACGCTGCGGCAATTTATGTTCAAAACCCTACCAGCAGATATTTCTGTTCCGGTTCTCTTCTTTCCAATCAATGGATCTTAACAGCCGGTCAGTGTGTCGATGGGTAAATCAAACACTTTTGAAGATCCCTCAATCTGAAACAAAATTTTAGGGCCACATTGTTCCAGATTTTTCTGGGATCAGTTCATCTGAGTGGTGGCAGCGAACAGATTGAAGTTGCAACTTCTTCGTACGTGCTTCACCCTGACTATAATCCGTTAACTCTAGAAAATGACATAGGTCTCATTCAACTACGGCTGCCTATCACTTTGACCAGTAAACAAAATGTCTTAATATGATTTCTGTAGTAATTATATTTTTGATGACAGATTATATACAGCCTTTTCAGAGGCTTTCACTGGCTGAACTCCCGGATTACGTTATAGCTACAATTTTTGGATGGGGACAGACTTCTGATGGTAGGTGTCATTTTACATACCGCAATTTAAACGACTTCATTTGCAGAAGATGCTGGGCTTTCTGATGCAATGCAATGGGTGCGTGTCGTAAGTTTGTCAAATACTGAATGTGCGCTTACTTATGGAAGTCAAATTGTTGACACTATGCTTTGTGTTGAAGGAAACTTAAATGAAGGAACATGTTATGTAAGTGTTGACCTATTTTCCTGTTGTTTATTGATTTTTTTTATTTCGTAGGGTGATATTGGCAGTACTTTAGTTCAATATTTCGCTAGCGGTCAGCCATTTCCTGTTGGTATTGCAAGTTTTGTTAGTTACAATGGTTGCGAAAGTACAGATCCTTCAGGGTTTACAAGAACTTATCCGTATAATGCTTGGATTAGAAATGTAACGCAGCTGGATATTTAGCCAGCGCGATTTTTGTTGAAGATTTGACACTTTGGTTGTTCCATTTTTAAAAATATAAAATCTGGGTCTTTTTTTACTAGTACTTGTCTGATTTAGCAGCAGTTTATCCTAATAGTGACCTAATGTAATTTTTATATAATATAAAAAAGGTAAATTACGGTATTAGCTTTTTTAACAGTAGGTACATGTTCAGACAACTTGAAGTTATCGAATATGTATAATGACAGTTTTGATGAGGTCATTATCAATCTGAAAACATTGATCATCGGAGTCCAGGTGTAGAATTGTACACTTTTTTCTGTTAATATCAACCAATCAAATTTTGGACCAGTTTATACCGTATTTATATCGTTGGTTAAGACGAAGAAAGAGTGATCAGATTTTAACAAGTAATTTAGATAAGATATGTATAGGGCAAATAAAATAGGACTCAAAACGCAACCGTGTGGTACGTCCGATTTGACAGGAAAAGTGTTGGAAAAGGAGTCAGCAACTTTGACATAAAACGAATGATCGGACAGAAAGGCTGAAAGCCATTTTAGTAGACATTCCTTGATCCTCATTTTACTAATTTTGAATAGCAATCTATGATATGGAACCTCGTCAAATGCCTTCTGAAAATCAATATATATGGTGTCAGCATTTTTCAATATTTCAATTTTGGGCTTTTTAAATCTTTCCAATCTTTAAATTTTCCATTTCTCAATTTTCCGATGTTTCAGTGACACGATTTCTCAATTTTTGTCCTCTTCAATTTTACGGTTTTTAAATATTTCGATTTTTCAATTTTTCATATTTTGACATTTCTAAATTTTTTCGTTCTTCGACTTCTGAAGTAATCTCTTTTTATTTTCCCATTTCTCGACTTCCCAAAGTTTCGATTTTTCACTTCTTTAAATGTTCAATTTTTCGATTTTTCAAGTTTTTGATTATTCAATTTTTCGATTTTTTTAAGTTTACGATTTCTCGACTTTGCTTTTTCAGTGTTTCGATTTCTGAGTTTTTTCAATTTTTTTATTTCTCAAATTTTTGGATATCTCTTTAAGTTTTGGGATTTTTCAATTTTTCGATTGTTCGACTTTTTGGTTTTTGGACTCTTGGATTTTTTGATTTTTCGATTTTTTACTTTTTGGATTTTCAATTTTTCATTAAACTTTGGATACTTCCATTTTTCGACTGTTTTATATTTCGATTTCTCAACTTTTCAACTTTTCAATGTTTTAATTTCTCAATTTAAATTTAAAATTTTAGGTTTTTCGATTTCTCGAGTTTTCAGTTCTTCTATATTTCAGTTTTTCAATTTTCCGAGTTTTTAAATTTCCGGTTTTCTAATTTTTCTTGTTTATAATTGTTCGATTTTTCAATTTTTTGATTTCTCGATTTATTCAGATGTTTCGATGTTTTGATTGTTCAACTTCTCGATTTATCAATTTTTCAATTTTTAACTTTTCTTCTCGGCTTTCTCGATCCTCTGATTTTTCGATGTCTTAGTTTTTGAATTTTTCGAAGTTTCGATTTTTGGATTTCTCGGTTTTTCGATTTTTTTAAATTTTGGGCTTTGCAATTTTTCTATTTTCCAATTTTTTGATGTTTCGATTTTTCAGTTACATAACAGAATTTTCAATTTTTCGATTTTTTAAATTCTGAGTTTCGATTTTTTGATTTCTCGATTTTTAATTTTAGATTTTCTAATTTTTATTTTTTGATATTTTGATGTTTGCATTTCTACATTCTTCAATTTTACGATATTTTAATTGTTCAATTTTTCAGTTCTAGATTTTTCGGTTTCTCGATTTTTTGACTTTCCACTTCTTCAGTATTTCTATTTTTCAATTTTTCAAATTTTGATGTCGCTAAATTTTCAGTTTTCCATTTCTCGATTAATCTATTTTTGATTTTCCAATTTCTCAATTTATCAGCTCTTCAATTTTCCAATTTTTTAATTCCTCAATTTTTGGATATTTATTTCAGTTTTGGGATTTTTCAAAATTTCGTTTTTTCGACTTTTCGGTTTTTCGATTTCTGGATTTTTCGATTTTTTTTTGGATTTTCAGTTTTTCATTTTTTAAACTTTAGATTTTTCAAATTTTCGACATATCAATTTTCCAATTTTTGTAATTCTCGAGTTTCGATTTCTCGATTTGTTGATTTTTCAGTTTTTCGATTTTTTAATGTTAGGATTTCTGCATTTTTCAATTTTATGATATTTTAATTTTTCAATATTTTAAATTTTAGATTTTTCGATTTTTAAATTTTTCGAATTTTGACATTTCTGAATTTTCACTTTTCCGATTTCTCAGTTAATCTATTTTTCATTTTCCCATTCCTCGACTTCCCAAAGTTTCGATCTTTTAATTCTTCAGTTCTTCAAATTTTCGATTGTTCAGGCTTTTGATTTTTCAATTTATCGATTTTTTAAGTTTGCGGTTATTTTTCGTTTTTTGACTTCAATGTTTCGATATTTGAATTTTATTTCTGCTTTTCGATTTTTCGTGTTCTGGATTTTTCGGTTTCTTGACTTTTTACGATTTGGATTTCCAATATTTTGTTTTTAAAACTTTAGATTTTTCTTGTATATTTCAATTTTTCAACTTTCGGAATTTTTAAATTTTCGATTTTTTTTTAATTTTTCGAGGTTTCGAATTTTCAATTATCTGCTTGTTCAATTTCTCGATTTTTAAATATTAGATTTTAAATTTTTTTTCGCGATTTTTCAGTCCTTCAATACCTCTATTTTTCAATTTTTTGATTTTTTAATTTTGCCATCTTGGTTTTTCGATTTTAAAATTTTTTCGACTTTTCGATTTTTCGATTTATCAATTTTTTCAACATTACTAGTTTTGGGAACTTTTCAAATTCTGTTTTTTTTAATTTTTCGATTTTTAAAATTTTAGATTCTTCGAGAATACAATTTTTCAATTTTTCGGTTTTTCGATCACTGTCGCGTTATTGCTAAAAGTTTTCCCAGTTTCCATACAATGTATCGAAAATAAGTAGCTACTAAAATTGTGACTAAAAATATGTAAAAATTAAGACAAGTTAGAACACAATGCTTCTAAAACATAAAAATAACTGCACTATCTCGAAAAAAATCGACTGTAGGGTTCCACGAGTATTGCTAATTTAGGACGTTTGTTAGTATGAAACACAATTAAACAATTAATTCTTAGTTAAACAAAAAAATAGGAGCATGTCAAAATTGAGTAAAACATGAGAGTTCTGATATGCTTGTAAATAAAAGCATCTAAACAATAACTATTTTTGTCAGAAATTCTAAATGCTTAGAGTCGACATTGGCTTGAGCGCGATCCGGTCTATGAATCAAACAAGTTCTCAGGCGACGTATTGACAAACAGCAAGTCGAAGCGTATAAAATATTCTGCATATTTTGATGGGATTTATCTGGCCAAATTTTGGGATCATGTCATCAAATCTCTGGATGGAAACCGCATCAGATAAATTTTCATTAACGATCTATTTATGTTTACCGTCATCACGTTATTCTTACAATACACTAAAAATTTGACAAGAATCGGTAGAGTAATTTCCAAAATTATCTGCCTGACATAATTAGCAACAGACGGCACACGGACAGACCTACGGAAACAGAGACCTGATCTCTCACATTCTGGGAGCTATGTTGAATGGTTAAGTTTACTGATTTATTATAATAATAATATTTAATACGTAAAGCATACACAAATAAAATAGATATATACTGGGTGTTTCACCTAAGACTTTCAGTGCTTATATCTTATTTATTTTTCGGCCGATTTTTTTAAAATTTTGTATTTATTTTAACTGAAGGATGCAGATTTCGTTTTGTATGAAAAATTTATTGGTTGTTGTAATGTTTAATTTTAAATATAAACAAATTTAAAGGAACAGTGCCATCAACCAAATCTTGAAATTTTACCTCACGTGAAATAATTTATAATTAAAGCTTACAACCAATACATTTTTCACATAAAACGGAATCTGCATCCTTCAGTAAACGTAAATATACCAGAAAATTTGGAAAAATTGACTGAAAAAGTAAATTAGATATAAGCATGTGAAACATTTGGTATATATACGTTTATGTACGTCAAAGAGTATAACGTAATAATTTAATTTTTAAATTGTTTACGAAATTTCAAACGTTCGGTATTTCTCTTTAAAAGTGAAATTATAAAGTGTTATACAATTTTGATTTTTTTCCCAAATCTGGATACCGAAGGCAGAAATAATTTGGCAGTTTTAGTATTTAGCGCTATAGTCTTTTAATTGAAATTGGAGAGTAGCACAGATCTCGTTTGGACATTAACATTGTCAAATAATTCCTATACAAATATTGTAGATGCAGAGTTTTCTTTGGTTTAAAAATATTATTTAATAGGTATGCAATTCTTGTCGAAACTTTATTTTACAATTATTACATTGTTATAAATATATTCATTTACTGTCTGTTCCCGAAAAGTTTCTCGTATTTCTCGTTGTAGGTGTCCCATTCTTCACGATTCTCACAGGGCCACTTTTTAATCTGAACACCCTTCTCATAGACGCTACACCATCTTCCTTCCCTATTAGATGTAATGCTGGTAGCATTCGTACAAACGCATCTGGGTATTTCAGGTTCATTGCATAAATGTCGCTGGCCATATACAAGGTTTCTAAATCCCACACATTCCTGACCACCTGAGGAAGTGTTGGCCGGAGCGTAACCAGGCCAACACTTGCACTTCACAAAAATGTTGTGAAGTCGTTGTTTAAAATTTATATTCTTACATTTTTAGTTTATAGCTGCAGAATCGCAGTTAAACTGATGCAAATTTGTTGTGATGAACTTTATAAAGGAGTCAAGGGAGCAGATTTGATTACAAACAATTAATAAATAAACTTTTTATCTCATTTTAGTTCTGTTAGCAACAAATTGCAAATTCGTGATGTCGTTTCGTATTTTTGTTTGTGATTTTTCTTAAAACAATATTACGTTCCAACATGCTGTGCTTCAGAGGCAAAGGAACGTCACTTTGAAAAACTAATAATGTAGACTTTTTTATATCTTTGGACATAGAAACGCTTTTCACTCTCCAGGTC